CCCCCCCCTGGTTCCGTCACCCCCCCCCCCAGCTCCGTCTTAAACACCCAGTCGTTCATAAAAGTTGAAGGCAGTATAGTACTATAGTAATAGAGCAAGTGCAGAATCACTGAGCCGGAATGGATAGATTGAAAGCATTTAGCGCGGGGCCCTTGAAAGTGCGGGGCCCGTAGCTACTACATATGTAGCTACTACATATGATGTAGCTACTACTACACAGGTAGCTATGTAGTAGTAGCTACTACTACATAGGTAGCTACTAAACATGGAGCTACTACATATGTAGCAACTTTTGCTACGAGGATAATCCGGCACTGGTCAAACCGCTCAATCCGGAGTCTGGCGGGGATATATGAGCGGTAGCGGGCAAGGGCTGGCACAGCTCACAACACCGTCCACGGTATGACACAGTCATATATAAACTTCCCATTGTGATAGGGATACAATAAAGGGACGGCAATGCAACTTTACCAGCCCCCCCCCCCTCCATGGTCAACTCGCAGAGCTGAGCAGGCGCTGTTTAAGGAACAGCACAGGGCAGTGCCTTTGCTGTACTCCCAAGGTCCTGCAGCCACGGTGGCAACTGACACAGCATCATGGGGGACTCATCCAGCAGTGGATTGTACACGCACGGTACACGTGCAGCCCGTAGTGACATTGTGGATGTGGATCTGCTGGTAACGCGATGTTTGAAACGTGGCAGAGAGGTGGCGGCTACTGGAAGGTGGAGGAAGAGGAGGAGGTGGGAGAGGGCAGTGCAGGGCAACTAAAGTGGCACTGACCAGCGTGCTGAAGTATGGTCAAACAGCCCCCCATAACCAACGTGGCTATGGGAGAGGCCTTTTCATCCCACAGTTGCATTCCAAAGGGCTCTAAATCACTGCGAATGTTTACTGCACAAAAACAAAGCACATTAAATGCGCAAATGCATATTTGCAAGCGCGCGCATGCATCAATTAAGGGGTCGTCCATAAATGACGTCACGCACCTAGGGGGGAGGGGAGGTCAGACATTTGTGACGATGTGTGACGATGTGTGACGATGGGGGGGGGGGGGGGGTGTTTGAGAAATGTGACGTCACATCAAAATGCGCAACTTTAATTAAATATAGACAACACGTTCTACTTAATTAGACTCTTTAATAAATGTTTTCTCCTACAACATCAGAGTGCAGCGCCACATTAAATACGCACTACAATGACAATAATTTAAAGCGATTTGAAGCATGTTTTTGGAGGGGGGGGGGGGGGCAGAGCTTTGTGACACCATATTTTCGGGGGGGTCTGGCTTTTTGTGACGCCGTGTGATGAGGGGGTATAGGGGGGGGGGATAAAAATCGTCCAAAATCGCGTGACATCATTTATGGACGGCCCCTAAACATGGCACGAACACGAACAAAATGAAACGAACAATAAACCCGAACACCGCTATTGTGACAATGTCGCTCGACTTGCAAGCCAGAGGCCGCCGGGTCAATCTCCTGGCGCGGTATTGGAAACAACGGAGCGAGTTGCTGATTTTCCTCCGTCCGCCCACCGCAGTTCGTTGATGGGCAGGTCGCGGTTGCGTTGGAGTAAAGTGTGGAGGCACTCCGGCCTCTTCCAAAGACGTCTGACCAGGAGCTCCAGCTCCCTCTAGTGGAGGAAAGACATTGCAGCTCTGGCGCCTTTACCTTTGCTTGTGCATTAATTCGTGCATGCATGCATGCAAACCTTACAGCATCTACGACAAATTTGTAATGCTCTGTGTTGTATCTGTATCCATAAAGACAAAGATTGCCCGTATACCCTTGAACAGACTGTTGGTGGCAAGTGCTGTTTGCGAACACCTATAAAGGCCGGCACAGCACACGACAGGGTAAGTGGACAAACACCCCACCCGGCCGCCTTTGTCTCCCCAGTGGCGATGTTTTACACGCCACACCATGCAGATAGCCATTTAAGGCTGAGTCAACCTAGGGGAGACCGAATACCTGTTCAGATATTCGTCACCGTTATTGGTCGTGAGCGGGAATCTAACTCGGGATGCCAGGTTTGGAGCACAGCGCGCTAACCTCTGCACCGTGTCCATACACATACCCATGTATATATTTGTATATTTATAGACCGGGAATTTTTGCCATTAGAGCATGGAAATGTTCCATCTCTCTCGAATTGGGTCGTAGTTTTTTTTTATGATGATGATGATGATCTACAGGGGAGAGGGTGGTGTGTGTCTGTCAGTGTTGCGGCGTGTCTGGGATGTCTCTGTGCTGAGTGTGTGCCATTGTTTGCTCACCCCACACCACCTAAAGGCCTCTTCGCCAATGAGTAATTGTGATAATAATATTCCGGCATCGCCCAAATATTTTCCACGGCCCGCCATTATAAAAACCCAAGCTCTGCCGAATCCGAGAGGGCAATTTATTTCGTTGCGTTTGCCGGTCGAGCGGTGGTTACTCTTCACGGTGTGCAAAGCGGTTGATGGTGGCAAACGCGCTTGCTTTTTTAGTCAGCGTCGTGACCGAGATCTCAGGATCTTGCCAATTACACGTCGCAAACCAGCAGCGCTTTGTTTAACCAGAACCTGACTTTTGCCGATGAGACCCAGAGGATCGAAACCGGTCAAGAGTTTGCTTGTTAAACAAATGCTGCTGCTGCTGGATTATATTGGTTTGGAAAGCCAATAGGCAGACTGGACTAAATGTTTTAAAAAAAAATGTTGATTTGTTGAGACAAAGAATTGAATACTGCTCATATGTGTTTGTTGTGTGGATTAATTCACGCTTATTTGTTCGGGAGAAAAATTACTATTTTGGTTAAATCTTAAACGTTATTAAATTCAAGCCAAGCAATATTAAAGCCTGTGCCACATTGAAAGGAATGTATATGTAAGAATGTTAAGACTTTAAATTCAAACCTTTTTCGTTGAAAATAATGCTCTGATGCCGTTTTCATGTTAATAAAAAAAAATACGTTAAGTTGTTTTCATACATTTTAACACTCGCAAGTGATGATAATCGATACGGGACAATTAAAATAGAATGGCGCATCACAGCCACGCGCGATTTTGATTATTTTCTCTCAGCATCCTTATCTTCGTTTTGTTCTCTGATTGTTGTTGTTGTCAATTTCTCTTTTTGTGTCGTCGCAGCAGCAGCAACAGCAGCTTCTTGGAGTCGAGGTGACGTGTTGAGCAAGGCAGCGAAGATGCAAACCATGAGCGAGTTCGGAGAGGCGGCTCCCTTCCTCCGCAAGAGCGAGAAGGAGATGATGATGGCCCAGACCATTCCATTCGACGGTGAGAATTTGGGCCGGTCACGGGAAGCAGGCACGGGCTCACCGCTCTCACCAATTGACCGCCCGTGCCGGACAGCTGACGCAGCGACCAGAGTGAGCGGCTCGCGATCAGGAGGTCTCCCGAGTTAAAAAATCGTGGCGGGGCACCGACGCAGCCCGCCATCCCTCTAGGGTCGATACGGTGACAATGGGGACGTTAGCAAGTTAACAGTGGATGTCCTACGGGGAGACCCGAGCCCGTCATAGGAACGTGGAATTGTCACCACTGGCTCAGGGCTGTAAAGGGGAAACAAGTACCGCCCCAATGCTCATTTGAGCAGAGCATCACTTGCACTTTGATCCAGTGCAGCAATGTGCACGGGTGTAACTTTCATTTCAATCGTCCAAAGTCAAAGTGTTTTCCTTTTGTAGTGGGAATTCCTCATTTCTATGGTGGGGGTGAGGGGGCAATCTCTTCAAAATTGGCAACCTCTGTTGACTTCACCACAAAGTGGTACCTATTTATCGACCCTGGAGAGATGATGGGCCGAATGAACCACCAACCAGGATCAACAGAATCAGAATGTGTATTTATACTGGAGGAATCCGATGAGCTATGAAGCCCTTTTTTTCACAGATGCCCGGTAAGCTCCTCGCAGCCTTCCGAATGCGCGCCCCTGGCTCCACCGCTGAGCCACGCGGCTGGTTCACAAACCCCACCTGCACTCGTACTGCGTAGCCACATAATCAGTGGGCACTCCACAGCTGATCCGGCAGGCCGCATGCGGTGGGGTAAAAGTGTGGGTACACACCCACCTTTTCGGAGACGTCTGGCACGGCGTGGAAGAGTAGGCCAAAGCACCGTCTCGAGCTCCCTCGAGTGGAGGCCCTTCCGCCAGCAGTGGCGTGAGCGAGCGATTGCAGGGCTGCGCCTCTACCGTTACGTAGATGTCCGGAGAGGCTCTTGAGCGAGGAACTTGCAGAGATGCGACTTGGCTGAGAGGGCGACCTGTTGCTGCGTCGTCTCTTGCGACAACACCGCACAGGCAAGAAGAGATGCTGGATTCCGGACGAGAAGGAGGCCTACGTGGAGGCGGAAATCAAAGAGACCCAGGGTAACAAAGTTACCGTGGAAACCAAGGCTGGAGAGGTAGGTGAATCCGTGGTGGTGGTGGTGGTAGTGGTGCAGGTGGCTGACTGCGCCTGCAATTACCTTTGAAGCCTCGGACATAAGTACGTACGTCGAACTTTTTTCGCACCGTACGTAGCCAACTGCGCTAACCGGAGGTGCGTGGGAAGGACAACAAACTTAACACACACACACAAAAAAGTAGCTCTAAAGGAATTCGTTTTCACTGTGGACGCAAAAGTAAACAGCTTCAGTGGCTTCCTAAGATCCGTAGGAAAAGCTTTCCAGACGGCCGCAGAAGCACACCTGCAAGCGCGCGATGCGGTGACCGTAGCGGGTCAACCGCGAAAGTCTTCGCGGCGCAGGCGGCGGAGGGAGCCACAGATCGTCGCTGTGTTGCATTGTCCCGCGGCGTGCACGGGGCAGAGCAGGGCGGGTGACGCGAGGCGCGTGCGTGCGTGCACGCGCGCAAAGTCGCGTGCGCGCGTGCACAACGAAAATGGATTGTGCATCCGTAGCACATTCAGCGGTGTGAATGGGGCAGCGTAATCTGGCAACCCCCCCCGTCTTGGAACGCGGCCACCATTGTCATCGTCGTCATCCCGCCGCCGCCGCCGCTGCTGCAGCAGCTGCTCCTGTTGCAGCACATTCCACATCGTTCCGTCACTGAGTGCGCACCGACTTTGCAGCGACACTTTAAAGGGAGGTGGCACCGCCTCAATCGCCTTGCACCGCGCTCAATTATGCCCGTGAAGTATTGTGCGCCGCGGTGGTGAGCTGTTCACGAGCTCGCCTGGTGTGCAGGAGGTCGTGGGTTCGACCCCGAACCCTGACGCCTGCTGCTGCTGCATATTTGGAGTTTGCGCGTCTCTCTCCACCCGCTGTCGCGTGGATTTTTCTCCAGGTCCTCGGGTTTGTCCCTCCACATTTGGAAACACGCCTATTGAGTATCTGGCTGTCAGAAATGTCCACGTGATAAGCCACTGAATTGGGCTATAATTTGTGGCCAGGTCGCTTCTGAAAAATAAATATATAACTCAGCCAAATACTGTAAACGCATGTTGAGATCTAAATGTGGAGGGGGGAAAAGCCACGTGATCACGGGGAGAGAGAGACACGCAAACTCCAAATATACAGCAGGCGTCAGTCTGGATAGAACGCACGATCTCCCGTATGCCGTGCGAGGTAGTTAACATCTCACCACCACGGCGACCTTTTAACTTCCAGCAAAACCGACGTGAAAAATATCGTCAAAATCTCGCTCCCTTTGCAAGAATCCTCCTCTAACTTTTCTGAAAATGAGCAATGTACCTTAGACGATGATCTAACCCTGACGAAACTGTGACTCGTAAATATATCGGTCGTTAGAGTTCTACGCACGATAGAAAACAATAATTCCGGAGGCACAGCAAGCTCAGTAAGTAGCTGGGACCTGTCCTCGTATCCACGGGCTCGGCAACTAAAACAACAATAATGGAGACATTGTTTTGAATTCTGTAAACCCTCCCCCCCACCTCAATATTTCAATAGGCGCAATGCACGTGGCCGCATTGCGCACGTGACATTACGGCACGAAGCGGACCCTTAAAGAGTCGCACGCGGCTGGGTAGCCGCAGGTTACCGACCCCTCCCCCCCCCACCCCCCCCCCCCTTGACGTCTTCCCTCCCCGCACGACTCCCGCACTCAACTCCAGACCAGGGTGATCAAGGTCGACGACATGCAGCTGATGAACCCTCCCAAGTTCGACAAGATCGAGGACATGGCCATGCTGACGCACCTCAACGAGGCGTCGGTGCTGGACAACCTGCGGAGTCGCTACGCTGCCTGGATGATCTACGTAAGTGGGAAGACGCAAATGTCTCCCCCGACGCATCAGCCGCAAATCTGAAGTTTATTGTCAAAGTGAAGCCCGTCGAGCCGAGAAAGGGGTTGTCCATAAATGACGTCACGCACCTAGGGGGGGGGTGGGGGGTGGGGGTCAGACATTTGTGACGATTTGTGACGAGGGGGAGGGGGGTTTGAGAAATGTGACGTCATAAAAATGCGCAACTTTAAATAAATTTAGACAAGTTCTACTTAATTAAATATAACGTTTTAATATATGTTTTCTCCTACAACATCGGAGTGCAGCGCCACATTAAATACGCACTACAATGGCAATAGTTTAAAGCGGTTTGAAGCAAGATTTATATTTTTTGGGGGAGGGGGGGGGCAGAGCTTTGTGACGTCATATTTGAGGGGGGGTCTGACTTTTTGTGACGATGGGGGGGGGGGGGGGGGGGAGTCAAAAATCGTTAAAAAAAATCGATTACGTCATTTATGGACGGCCCCAAAGCTCCTCTTCTCAAGGCCGTCTCGGCCGGCAAGTGCTGTTGGGGCAAGTGCCGTGAGTGAGAAGAGCCGATGATTAGCGCGGGTTGGCTGCGCACGACGTTCAACATGCATCGGGCATACAGAGGTGGAAGCCTGCACGACACACGAGGGGGTGGCCAACGCCGTTGTCTCGCCAGTGCTGACGTTTCGCACACCTCACCCGGGGTACTTATTTGATGCTGAGTCGACCTAGGGGAGGGAGCCCACGACCGTTGTTGAGTCGTGAGCGGGGACTCGAACTCGGGCGCGATCAAAGGGAGAGCCCGTGAATGAGTCACGGGGCAGACTTCACGGCCATGCCTGCCACGTGGTAAATATAGCTAAACAAAAGCAGAGCCGAGTTAAAGCGTAAATTCTCCCCGCCCCCTCCACCCGCCTGCCTCTAATTACAGTGTCGCTATGAATAGCAAACACGAGCAGGTGTCTCTGGGCCAGACAAAGCACAGGGGAGCTATAAAAAGTAACGCGTCCTGTTGTTATCCCTCTTGGATTTCCCCAGCGCACAGCTTCTGTTACGACCAAGCCCCGTGCACAAACATTCCGCAGTGCACCAGTGCCTCCTTTAGCTGCAACTCACTCATTCCCCACCCACCCTCACCCACGTCCTCCACCCACGCCTGCCCCACCTACCTCCACCACCCACCCCCACCCCACCTACCTTCCCCACCCCACCTACCTCGCCCACCCACCCCCAGCCCACCCCCAGCCCACCTACCTTCCCCACCCCACCCCACCTACCTCGCCCACCCATCCCCTACTTACCTCCCCCACCCACCCCACCCCACCTACCTCCCCCACCCCACCACCACCCCGCCAGTCAAAGATAAAGGCGCGGCCCTGCAATTGCTCGCCCACGCCACTGCTGGTGGAAGGCGCCCCTCCACTCGAGGGAGCTCGGACGATCCCCGTCTTCGTGTAACACAACGGCACCCGCTGATTCTGCCTTGGAAGCGGTGCACAAATCGCAAACGACAACAACCTCAATCACATTCGTCACCTCCACACACAGCCACTCGGAGTGTACCCAGCGATCGGCAACGTTCCGGCCAATGGCCCTTACTCATTGGGCCCTCTTCGCGACGAGCGGCGTTACCCCCCCTCTACCTCCTTCCCCGCCTTGAGCCTCTTGCCCGTCCTTCCACCACCTCCACCGCAGACTTACTCGGGGCTCTTCTGCGTGACGGTGAATCCCTACAAAAACCTGCCCGTGTACAAGACGGAGGTGGTGGCAGCCTACAAGGGCAAGCGGCGCTCCGAGGCTCCGCCGCACATCTTCTCCATCGCGGACAACGCCTACCACGACATGCTGCGCAGTGAGCAAACCCCGGGGCGATTTGGCGACGAGGAAAGGGTCAGAGGGATGGGCAGGGCCGGCGACCTCCGCGAGCCTGGGTTGCGATCCGGGTGTTGTACGGTCATCCTCGCGGGGGTGGTGGCGGCTTGTGGCTGGCCGTCGAACAAAGACGGTGGTGGTCACCCGCATCGATGCGCTGTCGGGTGCGCTTCTGCGGCCGTCTGGAACGCTCTTCCTTACGCTATTAGGAAGCCACTGGGAGCTGTGGCCTTTTAAGTCATCTCCATTGGAAACGAATTTCTTGAGAACTGCTCTCTGTGTTTAGTTTGTTGTCCTTTCCCCGCACCTCCGAGTAGCGCGGTTAGCTACATACGGTGCGAAAGAAGTGCAGCATACATACAACATACATACAACGTACATACAGCATTCATACAACATACATACAACATACATACGCATCCAACATACTTACAACATACATACAACGTGCATACAACATTCATACAACATACATACAACACACATACGTATTACATACAACATGCATACAACATACATACAACGTACATACAACGTACATACAACATTCATACAACATACATACAACATACATACGTATAACATACAACATACATACAACGTACATACAACATTCATACAACATACATACAACATACATACGTATAACATACAACATGCATACAACATGCATACAACATACATACAACATGCATACGAAACCGCGCTCTCACGCATAGGGAGTTGACGGCGGTCTCAGCCCGGCCAGCGATGACTGCTCGACACAACAACAAAAATATTCCCTTTTTAAATTTGGTTCGGCACTTCAATTTTGATACAATAACAAAAAAATCAGCTCCGAGAGTGGAAATGTTGTTGTGATTTCTGCTGTCGTGTGACATTGTCACCTGGAGCTCCTGAACAAATCGCCATCATACGCGAGAGAATAGAACCTGAATCACGATTGGTACCTCGCCTCACCGAGCTGAAACTGACTTGATGTGTGTTGTTCTTTGCAGACCGTGACAACCAGTCGATGCTCATCACGTGAGTATCGGTTGCGTGTCGCGCTGTGTCCCATCGTTCACTACTACTACGACTACTAATAATCATTTACATGCAAGGTGTCTTCCACTGATGTCTCACTCCGCCTCGGTGATGATGATGGTGGTGGTGGTGCTGCTGGTGGTGACGATGGTGGTGCTGGTGATAATGATGGTGAAGGTGGTGCTGTTGGTGGTGCTGCTGGTGGTGACGATGGTGGTGCTGGTGATGATGGTGAAGGTGGTGCTGGTGATTATGGTGCTGGTGGTGGTGCGGACGATGGTTATGAAATTTGTTTGACTCCTTACGCTATTGGCACTGCACAGAGCGTGAGGGATAGCTATAGTAGTCATGGTAATGTCTTGGGGGGGGGGGGGGGGGTTGGTTTAACCCAGCAGTGGATTGATCATGGCTGCTGCTGCTGATGATGATAACGATGATGATTATGATGATAATTTCTATTTTTCTTTAACAGCGGAGAATCCGGTGCGGGTAAAACGGTGAACACCAAGCGAGTGATCCAGTACTTCGCGACCATAGCCGCGCTGGGGGATCACCCGTCCAAGAAGAATGTGAATAAATACACAACAATAAATACACAATAATAAATACGCAACAATAAATACACAATAATAAATACACAACAATAAATACACAATAATAAATACACAACAATAAATACACTAATAAATACACAACAATACATACACAACAATGAATACACAACAATACATACACAACAATGAATACGCAACAATAAATACACAACAATGAATACACAAACATAAATACACAATAATGAATACACAACGATTAATACACAACGATGAATGCACAACAATAAATACACAATAATGAATACACAACAATAAATACACAACGCTACCGCACGCATGTACACACACGTGCTCGGAGTTCTCAATGCTCGCGGTAATGATGGTGCTGATGGGGGTGATGATGGTGATGATGGTGGTGTTGGTGGTGGTGGGGATGATGGTGATGATGATGATGGTCCTGGTAGTGCCGGTGGTGTTGGTGGTGCTGGTGATGATGGTGATGATGGTGGTGGTGCTGGTGGTGATGATGGTGATGATGGTGCTGGTGGTGATGATGGTGATGATGGTGGTGTTGGCCCATTCTGGGGCTCTTAGCGAACCTGTTTTCCTGCTCACCCGAGTCCGGCTTCGTGATGTTTTACGGCACAAAGAGACTTTGTGTAACGGGACGATGTAGGTATCGTGTACATGATATCGTGCGCTATATATACATACACCGTAGTGTCGCCGCTTCGTGCCAGCCTGACTATTGTAAGGCTGGTTTGTTTACTTGCGTGGGAAACTCGTGCCCCTAAGGCTACTAACATTTCTGTTTGCTTTTTTACTTTCTTTCGTTTCGACGATTACAGCAACAACCAACAACCAAGACTGGGGTGAGTACGGGTTCATTCATTCTCTCAAGCAGTAAGCATACGATCGAATATATACATTGTGAAGCATACTGTTTACTCGTACATAAGCAGAGTTATGGAAGTCTCATCTCTACGTACATCAAACAAAATGTATCGACCTCTCATGCGAGGTGTTTTACCACCCGTCCTGGTTTTCCCAGTATCATTTTTTTACCGACGCCGCTCGGAAAACCTGTCCGTCTTGCCGAATACTAAACAATAACAAACACACCGCTCGCGACGATGCATTGCCCCAGAGTTCTTTCCTCCTCCGTGATCGTGAGATATTCTCCACATCGCGTGTCCTGGTTTTTATGGACCTCAGAGGTGGCAACCGCAACTTTTTTGCAAGATAACGAAGCTGTTGCACGATCCGGAATTTGGCGAACTCAAGGCCACCGCAGAGACAGAGTCTGTGTCTGTGCGCGTGTTTCATTTAACCCGGTGACCCGAGATCCATTCCCGCTCACCGCCATCAACATTGACGATGGTCTGAATCGGTCCTGGGCCTCCCCTGGGTCGACTCAGCCTCAAATGAGAACCCAGTGCGGTGTGTGAACATCGCCACGAGCGAGACAAAGGCAGCCGCCGGGCGTGGTTGCTGGCCACCCACCCCTTCGTGTGCCGTGCCGGCCTTCATAGGTGCTCGCTAACAGCACTTGCCCCCTACAGTCTGTTACAGGCTACACGGGGGATCTTTGACTTTGTGGTGCTAGCCACCCACCCCTTCGTATGCCGTGCCGGCCTTAATAGGTGCTCGCTAACTGCACTTGCCCCAACAGTCTGTCAAGGCTACACGGGGGGGGGGGGCTTTGCCTTTGTCGTGTTTTATTGAATTCGCGAAGTCGCCGCCGCAGCAGCAGCAGCGGCAGTGTTGGTTGTCCGTCCGCGTCGGTGGTGGCATTTTCGTTCTGCGAACGTCGTCAGGGCTCCCTGGAGGATCAAATCATCCAGGCCAACCCCGCCTTGGAGGCCTTCGGCAACGCGAAGACACTACGCAACGACAACTCCTCCCGCTTCGTGAGTGTGGGGGGCCACGTCGCCCGACTCAGGAGTGGGGGGGGGGGACAGCCACTCTCGCGATCGGTTGAACGTGAAGTGAAGAAGCGGGGGCTGCTTTGGGGGAAGACTAGGGCTTCTTTGTTGTCAAGACTCGCTTATCTCGATTCAGATGGAGAGTTGCTATGTGGAGCGGGGTGACCGTCACAATCAGGATATTTATTCATGATGGGACCCTTTTTTAATGCAGACTCGATTCCTTGCAAAAGGATTCTATTTGGTGTTTGAACATCTTAACACCTCCAGTTTAAGTGCCAGAAAGGGTCAAACCTATTCTTATTTTTCATATTTTTTCATGATTGAGAGTTGACTGAACACATTAAAAAAAAAAATCGTATTTGCGTGTGACCGTATTTCACCAATTATTCTGCCGTCATTCGTCTACCCGCCCAACAGGGAAAATTTATCCGAATCCATTTCGGGAACACGGGAAAGCTGTCGTCTGCCGATATCGACATCTGTGAGTAGCTGACACACCGACTACCCGCACCGCGTGGGCCATCGGCACCGCGTTAACGCCTGCTCGTTGCAGATTGTTCACGGTTCGAATCCAGCGGCCGCCTCGGTTATTACCACGGTGGCGTGCGTGAATCGCACCGTCGGCTTCACTCGCGGTGCATGTGAAAGATCACTGCCGACGTCATTCGCGGGGAGGAGTAGGCCATCATGTACCGGCGTCAGGGGCCAAATTTTGCCAAATTATAAAATGACACCGGCGGTGGCGGAATTGGGAGCCCTACGCAGCCATTCGCTGGCTGGTGCTGCAAAAAGACAAAGATCCCCCGTACAACCTGTAACAGACTGTTGGGGCAAGTGCTGTTAACGAGCACCTATGAAGGTCGACACGGCACACGAGGGGGTGGGTGGCCAACTCCATGCCCGGCCGCCTTTGTCTCCCTAGTGGCGATGGCTTTCACACCGCACCAGGTAATCGTTTGAGGCTGAGTCGACCTAGGGGAGGCCCAGGACCGGTTCAGATAATCGTCACGTGGTGTTCGCCGTGAGCGGGAATCGAACTCGGGTCTCTGCTGGGTTCGGAGCACAGCGTAGCGCTAACCACTACATTACCGCTCCACACACACATACACACACACACCTCCACACACACACCTCCACACACACACCTCCACACACACACCTCCACACACACACCTCCACACACACACCTCCACACACACACACCTCCACACACACACCTCCACACACACACACATACCTCCACACACACACACCACCACACACACACACCACACACACACACACCTCCACACACACACCTCCACACACACACACCTCCACACACACACACCTCCACACACACCTCCACACACACACATCTCCACACACACACATGCACACATACACACCTCCACACACACACCTCCACACACACACATCTCCACACACACACGTGCACACACCTCCACACACTCACACCTCCACACACTCACACCTCCACACACTCACACCTCCACACACACCTCCACACACACACATCTCCACACACATACACCTCCACACACACACGTGCACACACCTCTACACACACCTCCACACACCCCTCCACACACACACACCTCCACACACACACACCTCCACACACACACCTCCACACACACACAAAGATAAAGACAAAGATCCCCCGTATAGCCTTAACAGACTGTAGGGGCAAGTGCTGTTAGCGAGCACCTATGAAGGCCGGTAACGGTACACGAGGGGGTGGGTGGCCAGCACCACGCCCGACCGCCTTTGTCTCCCTAGTGACGATGTTTACACACCGCACAAGGTACTCATTTGAGGCTGAGTCGACCTAGGGGAGGCCCGGGACCGGTTCAGATAATCGTCACTGGTGTTGGCCGTGAGCGGGAATCGAACCCGGGTCGCCAGGTTCATAGTGCAGCGCGCTAACCGTTACACTATCGCTCCCCACACACACACACACACCTCCACACACACACACACACCTCCACACACACACACCTCCACACACACACACACCTCCACACACACACACCTCCAGACACACACCTCCACACACACACCTCCACACACACACACCTCCACACACGTAATGCCGTGGTTCTTAACCTGGCTCCCCGCACCCCCTGGGGGTGCGAGACATGGGCAGATTTTTTTCAGAAGGTAAATAATCGAAACACAAATTAAGCACCAGCACGTAAGTACAACTACTTTGTTTAATCAAACCCCTATGTATTTATGAATAATATACTTTTTTACGATTTAGAACCAAAGGGGTGCAAGGCTGCAGGAAAGGTTAAGAACCTCTGCCGCAGAGGGACAGCTGCCGCTGGCGGGGATTGCAGCAGGGCATGGGGATGGTGGAGAGAGATGAGATGTACGGCGCTTGGAGTGACTGAGACGCTGTGCACGATGACGGCTGGTGGTGCTGTGCCATTTTCAGACCTTCTGGAAAAATCCAGGGTGATCTTTCAGCAGCCGGGGGAGCGAAGCTACCACATTTACTACCAGATCACCTCGGGCAAAAAGCCCGAGCTGCAGGGTAAGCTCACCGCGATTTAAATTCATCCATTCATCCTAAATCAGCTCGAGAGCCTCCCGTACATCACGTGACGTCTGTGTGGCCACCTCCACTCCGAATCTCTGTCCCTCCCCTCTCCCCGCCCCCTGCGAAAACAGACGCTGCTCCTCCCTGCAGCTCACTTCAGCTCGCTCCTTCCATCTCTCTTCTCCCTCTCTTCCCTCCTCTCTCATCATCATCATCATCACCCTCTCATCATCATCACCCTCTCAATATCATCATCACCCTATCATCATCACAATCGTCATCATCACTCTCTCATCATCATCATCAGCACCCTCTCATCAACCACATCTTGGCCCGGTCATTCCTTCTCCCCCTCCTCCCCTTCCTGCTGCTTCGTTCTTCCCACTGCTCATCTCGAGCCGTGCTGCCCTGTCTCTCCCTGGGGACTGTTGTCCTGACGTTTGACTCCACTCCCCTTCCCGTGGTGTGCCACGGGTGGAGGCCGTTACAATGCCTACCGCAGTGCGGAACTCTGTCTCCGACCAAATAGGCTCTGCTGCAATGTTGTGGGCGGCAAATGCATTCGCAGCGCAATCCGTCGTTGAGCTATACATCTATGTGCCCACACCTGTGTGAAGTATGGTGAATTATCCCCTCCCCCCACAACGGGCACGCCATGGCGAGGCCGACATCCATCCCGTGGACTGACAAAGGGCTGAAGAGTAGGCCAAGTAACCCTCGACAGGGGCTCTGCGGAGCGCCCTTGAGTCTTCTGCCAGCGGCGGCGTGAGCGAGGCAACTGCAGGGCTGCGCCTTCATTTATTGTACCTTCACGTAGACCCTGTTGTTGTACCGTCTCGGTCCCACGGACAGACATGCTGCTGGTCTCCACCAACCCCTACGACTTCCACTTCTGCTCCCAAGGGGCAGTGACCGTGGATAACCTGGACGATGGAGAAGAGCTCATGGCCACCGACGTAAGTGAACAGAATCATCGCAAGCATTGTGAGTCGACAATAGCGGTTATTTTGTGTTCAGTAGTTTTGTGTGTTGAACTTCTTTCGCACCTTACACAGCCAACCGTGCTAATTGGAGGAGCGGTTGAAGAACAACAAACTAAACACGGAAAGCAGTTCTAAGGAAATTCGTTTTCAATGTGGATTATTTAACAGTGCATAGCACAAGTGGCTTCCTAATATAAGAAGGAAGATCTTTCCAGAAAGCCGCAGTGGCACGTTTTATGTCGAACATCGAACTTAGGACCCATATGCAACAGAGAGGGAGGGGGGATGCTTGACTATAATCTGATGGCATTCCACCAGCACTGGTTCAAGTGAGCCTGACTCTGCTGATGAGACACTGAATGTCGAAACCGAGCACACAGTTTTTCCTGTAGTGCACTAATGCCCTGAAATTGGACACTCTCAAAGGGCCATGGGGCTGAGTGCGTGGTAAAACTACTTTTACGTGGAGGGACAACTTTATGACGGAGGCATATTTTATGATTATTTTTGGACCTAAGCGATCGTTTCGCCCCCGATCGAAATAAAATATCAATGCAAAAATTCACTACTGGCGCAGTTGCCAACCACGGCTAACATCAGTGGTGCGTGAGATCACCGCTCCCTCCTTCACGGACCCGCGCTGACCTCCGTGTTTTATACATGGCCAAACGATGAAACTAAAACTATTTTTTACTTTACCAGGTAAGGCCCACTAAGCTGCTATGAAGCTCTTTTTCAGAAGGGACCTGGCCACAAATGATAGGTCAACGAAATGGCTTATCGTCGTGTGTAAATGTATTGCAGTCAAATACTATTTTAATTTTAAACGTGGAATCCAAAAAGCGGAGGACCCGGAGGAATGTCCACGCGACCACAGGGAGAGAGACACACAAACTCCAAATATACAGCAGGCGTCAGGGTCGGGATCGAACCCACGGGCTCCTGTAGACCAAGCGATGTAGTTAACTTTTCGCCACATGCTGGTGGGGTTTGGTCCTAGGCAGGATGTGTGGACGGGGGCCTCGGTCCAGCAGCAGATTGGCAAAGAGGCTGAACATATTCCTGCGGAGGGGGCTGGTAGGAACGTTGGTTGCTCGGTCAATGGCCAGGGTCAACGGCGGCACGTGGTGTATTCCGCACATATGCTCGACTGTGAGGGCGGGCACAAGCCGGCGTGAGTAAGTTAAACGTTGAGTTTTATAAGGGCACCATGGAGTTACCAGCCCCTCCCCACCCAGCCCCTTCCTACCCTTCCCTCTCCACTCAGCCCCACCCCTCCCACGTGGACAGACATCCACAGACATACACAATTAATCCCCTGCCTCCTGTGAATTAATCCCGGTTGGGCTTCCAGTCCACTACGTTTCCTACCAGTAATATTTATTTCACTAGCACAGGTATTGTCACCGCACTGCAGTGTTGTTTACGCAAATTTTTTTTTAAAGAGAGAGAGGAAAAACCGAAGTCATCTCAATGAACCGTTTCGTTCGCAGCAAGCCTTCGACATCCTTGGCTTCAACAGCGAAGAGAAGTACGGAGCCTACAAGCTCACGGGCGCCATAATGCACTTCGGCAACATGAAGTTCAAGCAGAAGGCCCGCGAGGAGCAGGCCGAGACGGACGGCACGGAGAGTGAGTGAAAAAAGAAATACACAATTCTTGAATGTTTCGGATCACGGTTTAATTAAATGTTTACACGTTTCTTCTTATTATCCTTCACCCCCCCCCCCTGCCCCGTACAGACACTGACAAGGCAGCCTATCTGATGGGGATCAGCTCGGCTGATCTGGTCAAAGGGCTTCTGCATCCCCGCGTGAAAGTGGGCAATGAATACGTGACCAAGGGCCAGAGCGTGGCACAGGTGATGAGCAGGAGCGGGCTAAAGCGATCTCTGGCTCAGATGGGCCCCGCGAGCCACTGGGTGTCAATTTCACATTCCTACTTTGCGGGTGCGCGAGTCTCCTCTCTCCACAGTGGACGACCACCACCGACATCTCCACAAAGTGGCACTGTATTTATCGTTCCCGAAGGGGGAGGGGGGTGATGGACTCCGCCGGTAATTGCCCTGTTCTCATTCTCACGGAGGGCCAACGTTTACGCCGCACTGCACGTTTTATAAAAACCGAACAGGGGCAGATTATCCTCGAGTTCTCTTCCGTAGCACGTGGTAAGATTAAAAAAACGGAATATTGCACGTGTGTCTCAGTAGCGAGGTGTTAACTCCCTCGCCTGGTATGCAGGAGGTCGTGGGTTCGATCCCGACCCTGACGCCTGCTGCTGTATATTTGGAGTCTGCGTGTCTCTCACTCATCATCATCACGGTGGCTAGGAAATGTTAACTACCTCGCCTGGTATGCAGGAGGTCGTGGGTTCGATCCCGACCCTGACGCCTGCTGCTGTATATTTGGAGTCTGCGTGTCTTTAGCGGAGGCATGGCACCATCAGTGTTAAACTGTTAAATATGTCAAACGCTAAACAGAAAGAGTAACCCCAACAAAGATTGTATTTGTTGGGGTTAGATCGCGTAAATATAAATGTTGTCGCTAAACCCACCACCACCCGACACAGCCAATTAGTTAGGTTTGTCACGTCAACAAAACGTGCCAATGATTCACTACTTAAGTACACCAGGTGTGTTGAGATGGTGAACCCACAACGTTTACAATTCTAGTACCGTGACGTTTCGCTCAGCACGATGTCCGACGTTCCGTTCCCAACGACATGGAGCAGTGACAGCGTCGGACGTCGATCCGAAAAAACAAACCCGTCAACGACAACAACGACAACAAACGGCGAACGCGTCGGGAGAGGAGCTGAATGGCGATCGACGTTGCAGGGAAAGGCACCACACGACCTGACCCGACCGGAGGGCTAACATCTGACGCCGCCCCCGCTTCGCCTTTGATATCGCAGGTCACGTACGCAGTCGGCGCCCTTTCCAAATCGGTGTACGACCGGATGTTCAGGTGGCTGGTGAGCCGCATCAACAAGACGCTGGACACCAAGCTGCCGAGGCAGTTCTTCATCGGCGTCTTGGACATCGCCGGATTCGAAATTTTCGACGTGAGTGCTCGGAGCGGTGACAATGGCAAGGGGATGGGGGGGAGACCGCTTCCGCCTATACTGGACATCGCTGACCTCCGCCCGTACCGGGCATCTGTGCAACAAAGGGCTTCGTAGCTCGCCGTATTCCTCGGGTCTAAATGAAAGATTCCGATTCTGAAATGCGGGCCAGGGTTTGTCTCCATGCTAACGCGTGTCCCGTTTGCCGCCCTGAGCTGAGTGGTGCCTCTACCGTGTGGCTTTGGTGGTGGCGATGATCGAATTTTTGGGACACCAAATAATAATTGAGTACATTTGGTACTCCCGGCATTCTTACAGCGCTATGCTTCACAGACGAGTATAGTTTGCCAAATGTTCCTGTGGTTTTCACCCAATTAAATATTTTGGCAGTAATATTCCTACTTTGGCAACATTTGTACCGTGACGCGAGCGTGCGGCGGCCCCACTCTTGATGTGAGGGCCTCTTTAACGTCCACTGGGAAGCGGATGCCACTCGTCTGCTGTTGACCGGGGTGGCCGCTGGGCTCGAACCACGAACCAGCGGGAAAATTTACAGCCGCGTTTTGACGTCGCCGCCAAGCCGTCCAAAATATCCCACCCAGGACGATGTTCACTTGTATTGTATTTTTCTTCCCCCACATTTTTTTTTGTAAATAATCAGGGTTTGTTTAATCTCTCTCTCTCAAATACCCGGCAATGTTAATGCAACCCGGTGTGCCGTTCCAGCACTTCTCACAACACCAAGTGCAAATACCGCCTTCTCACAACACCCAAAAGAAACCTCTATTATGGATAATATTGGTCGCAAAAGCCTACGTGCTAAAACTGCAAACACCGCCACTTTGTAGCGCGGTTCCTATTCCTCTGCGACGATGTTTTCGCACGACGAATGTGTTACCTTTCTCCTGGATCACTTGTAAAATAACGATGCCCTCCTGCCTCTCTCCCTACCTCGCCTGTCGATACTTTAACGGGCGCACGCACGCGCGCGCGCGCTCGCTCCAGTTCAACTCCTTCGAGCAGCTGTGCATCAACTTCACCAACGAGAAGCTGCAGCAGTTCTTCAACCACCACATGTTCGTGCTAGAGCAGGAGGAGTACAAGAAGGAGGGCATCGAGTGGACCTTCATCGACTTCGGCATGGACCTGCAGGCCTGCATCGACCTCATTGAGAAGGTGCGTAGTGAGTTGAGTCTGTGTGCGTGCGTGATGGCGTGACAGCGCTACGCTGCACTACGAACCCGCCGACCCTAGTTCGATTCTCACTCACGGCCAACACCGGTGACGATTAGTTGAACCGGTCCTGGGCCTCCCCTAGGGTTGACTCAGCCTTAAACGAGTACCTGGTGTGGTGCGTAAACATTTATACTGGGGAGACAAAGGCGGCCAGGGAGTGGTGCTGGCCACCCACCCCCTTTGTGTGCCGTGCCGGCCTTCATAGGTGCTCGCTAACAACACTTGCCGCAGCAGTCTGTTGAGGCTACACGGGGGATCTTTGTATTTGTGCCGACGGGGAAGGGCCATTGCCCGAAACGTGGCCTATTAACGAAGCCGCGGGACCTTACGTCCGAAATTGTGGCACTGCCCGGTGAACCCGGCTATTAGCGATAGTTCGACGTGAAAGTGCGACGTCATTGAGGGACCAGGTGTTGTCTTGCTGTGGTCTGGGACTGTTCTTGCTTTTACTGCCTTGTCCCGAGCTTGCATTCCGTGTTGACAATTCGGCAGGAATTGATGGACTTATGCATTCTGTACTCATATCTGCTTTATTTAGTTACTGTGACTTGCTTACCATTTTCTCTATTTTGCACTCCGATCGGTGTTTTTTTTTGTATTGCTTGTTGTAACCAACCCAGCCCTGCTGGACACGTGCAGAAAAAAAGAGCTTTGTAGTTCATCGGATTTCCTTCTCCTCCTGCGGCGGTCTAAATAAACATTCCCATTGATTCTGAACGGGTCGGCGGACGCCTCCGCTGCTACCGCCGTGCACACAAATAAAGACAAAGATTCCCAGTATAGCCTTAACAGGCTGTAGGGGCAAGTGCTGTTAGCAAGCACCTATGAAGGCTGGAAATGCACAAGAGGGGGTGGGTGGCGAGCAACCACGCCGGGCCACCTCCCCAGTGGCGGTGTTTTACGGACCGCACCGGGTACTCATTTGAGGTCGAGTCGACCTAGGGGAGGAGGCGCAGGACCGGTTCAGATAATCGTCACCGGTGTTGGCCGTGAGCGGGAATCGAACTCGGGCCACCAGGTTCGCAGCGCGGCGCGCTGACCGCTACCACCACCGCTCCGCCACCGACACAAAAAAAGACCACGCACAGCTCCGTTGCGCCCTGAGCGTTGCCACGTGACCTCGTGCGCAGCCCATGGGCATCATGTCCATCCTGGAGGAGGAGTGCATGTTCCCCAAGGCGTCCGACATGACGTTCAAGGCAAAGCTGTACGACAACCACCTGGGCAAGTCGCCCAACCTGCAGAAGCCCCGGCCGGACAAGAAGCGCAAGTACGAGGCCCACTTCGAGCTCGTCCACTACGCCGGCATGGTGAGTCCTTCCACTCGCGGGTGTCGCCACCGCGGGTGGCACACTGCACCCGACGCACCGCGTGCCATGAAGAGGGAGAGTACGAAGAATAGCCATTGCCCGATGTGTTTTGTAGATATATTTTTTATACTTTAAAGGCCACGGTGCGTGTTATTGACGAACGTGTTTAGGGTGTCTCTGCGACCTTCTTTTGCCAATATCCAAGATGATGAAGAAGAAAAAATATTAATAGGTTTAGGCCAATCAGTTTCAAAGATAATGCGTACAATTATCAGAGCATGTTTGTTTGCATGATTGCCACTAGTGCGTGTGGTTAATGGAGACTTGATGCCTTGCAAAATGTTTGTTTGGTGTTTGAACATCTTAACACCTCTTGTTTTATTGGAAGAAAGGGTCAAACATATTTTTAAATTTTTTTCCATGATTGAGAGTTGACTGAATACATTTTTTAATCGTATCTACGTGTGACCGTATTGCACCAATTCTGCTGTTAACTACCTCGCCTGGTATACAGGAGCCCGTGGGTTCGATCCCGACCCTGACGCCTGCTGTATATTTGGAGTTTGCGTGTCTCTCTCCCCGTGGTCACGTGGGTTATTCTCTGGGCCCTCCTGTTTTTCCCTCCACATTAAGAATCAACATAAATTTCCACGTGATCAGCCACTTCGTTGAGCTATCATTTGTGGCCAGGTTGCTTCTGAAAAAGAGCTATGTAGTTCAGTGGGCCTTGCATGATAATATAAAAAATAGTTTAATTGCTTCCATAATACGGGTTTTTTGGGTCGTTAAACCCGCCACCACCCGACACAGCCAACTAGTAAGGTTTGTCACATAAACAGATCGTGGTCAATTCGTCACTAGTGCAGCACACCGGTGTGTTGGAGAGCAAAGCCACAACATTTACAATCTGAGAACGACGTTCCGCCAGTAATTACAACTTTAATAGCTCAACAGTCTCATCGCCTACACACACATAATAGTGGAGCCCTTTATTAATCCACTGCTGCATGAAGGCCTCCCCACACACCTTATAGGCTTTGTTTGACCACATCTCACCACGCTGGGTTAGTTTGCGGGTTGCAAAATAAAAAAAAGGAGGGAGAGTGTCCAGGACCGGTTCAGAGATCACCCGCCACTGATGTTGACCACAGCGGTCTGGAATCGAACTCCTGAATTGCGGCGTCGTGGCGCGGTGCTCTCCGCGACTCACACTTATCATCCTACGGACGTTTTGGTTGTTGTTCTTCTTCTTACAAAATTCAGGTTCCTTACAACATCATTGGCTGGCTGGACAAGAACAAAGATCCGCTGAATGAGACAGTGGTCGGCATTTTCCAGAAGGCGTCCAACAAGCTGCTAGGGGCCATCTTCGAAAACTACGTGAGCTGTGACGCAGGTGAGAGCTCCGTTACGCACACCGCCCCGGGTCCGGCACACCGGGTCGGCGCGCTCGACCTGGAGGAATCCAGAGGTTTGACGGTTCTGAACCCATCCTGAGCGACCGCCGCCTCCAACCCACACTGACCAGCGTGAGGAAGTACGGTCAAACGGGCGCCGTGACCGACGCGGCGCAGGGATACCTCCACCCAGCAGTGGTCTGACGAATGAGACCATCAGCTCACTACACCTGTGAAACTCGTTTAATGACAGCTGGCGCAAACTTGAGTGTTTTGGACCCAGGCTAATCAACTAAAACTGTCTGTCGATTTCCGTGTGGCGGTAACGGTCAGCGCACGCTCGACTTGCAATCCAGAGGTCGCCGGTTCAATTCCATCTCCTGGGCGCGGCGGTTGAAACAACAGTGCGAGTTTATTAACTCCCCACACTTTAAAAATCCCCACTTGAAACTTGAACCTCTGCCCACACAGCAGTGCGAATGGGTGGGCCACAGTCGATGGGTGTGGTGAGGTGTGGGTACTCCCACCTCTTCCAAGTAGGCGTGGCCAGTGTGGACGAGTAGGCCAGCAACCCTCCAGAGGGACTCTGTAGTAGAGAGATCGCTGTCATTGAGGCCCATTCTGTCAGTGGTGGCATGAGTAAGCAATTGCAGGGCTGTACCTATACAGTGCTTAAAATACAAATATTTCACTGTACTTTTACGTGAAATTGGGTGCAAAACCTTTTCCCGTTCCAATGACGTACGTGTGCGTCATCAATCTTCCTTCCAATTCTGTTCCGATGACGTACGTGTTACATCATCAAAATGGAACTGGAAGAAAAAATAAAATAAGATAACTTTATCTGTATCGAGACTCCCACAAGGCCATGCGTGAGGGAGTGTGGCAGTTTGACGTCAACTATCGTAGCGTGTGATCATGTCGCTATAGTTCTCTGCGGTAAGTACAATGTTTTTAAAAACAGCGGCGCTACGCCTCTCTAAATAAAATTAACCCTAACCGCTTGCGCGTTCCGAGATTCAGCCGTGAACGGGACCCCCACCCTGCAACTTGCAGATGTCGCGGAACGCGAAAGGGTTTAAAAGTGTTTCTTCAATGTTCTTCATCGTCAGCGGCAGAGCAGGCGAAGAGTGCAGGGGACAAGAAGAGGAAGAAGGGAGCCTCATTCCAAACGGTGTCGTCCCTTCACAGGGTGAGAGAATCTTCATCGCGCCATGCACCACGTTTGCACAGACAGCCGGCACTTCGAGCGTCACTTTACCGTTCCAAAGCAACTTGCAGATCCACCAGGCCGGCAAACAGCCAAACGTTGGGCCAACGTTGGTTTTTCGTCGGACCAACGAAACCGGAAATAGATTTCCAAATCTAGCGAGAAATAGCCATACGATGACAATTTATCTCAGCTCAGACACATCTGGTATTAGCACGGTTGGCTACGTACGGTGCGAAAGAAGCTTAACTTACATACATCTGTACGTACCGTAATCCATTCATAGAAACGGTAATAATGGTGATGATCGATGGACACGTTTGGCTGAACGCTCTGCTCTTGTTGAACAGGAGAACTTGAACAAGCTGATGACCAACCTGCGTTCGACGTCTCCCCACTTCGTTCGCTGCATCATCCCCAACGAGTCCAAGACTCCAGGTGCACAGGCCTCAAGCCCTGACCTCACTGAGAGGCTCCTAGTCCCCAAGCGTCCAGGGTTGCCACCTGTCCATGAGATCACTCTCCTGGGAAATTCGCACTTTTTTCCCCGGAAATAAAAAATCCCGGTTTGTTCTCAGTTGCGCGCGGGAATCCCTCGATATACACAGGGACTCCTCTACTTATGAACATTCGACTTGCGAACTTTCAGAGATACGAACAAACCTGTCCGTATGTCAAGTTGCCTGTTTGAACCGAGAGTCCTGAGTTCAACTGCCGCACAATAATTGGCGGTGGTGGAATCTACATCTGCAGAACGTGAAGAACCAGTGGAATAATAGGGTTTTTCCCCTTTTTTCTGGCAACAAAACTGAAACCTTTTTTACAAGAATTCATGTCTGCATTAACCACAATACCTTCAATCAAAATGCAAACAAAAAACACACTATGATAACATATGCATTGTCCTTGAAACTGATTGGTCCACACCAAGGGACGGCTTTCTTTTGAGCCTCGACCCAATTGGTGCTCAACCAGATGACGCCAAAAGGCGTACAGCTCAAAGACAATGCACTATCAAAGTAATGAGGGCTCGGGGTGAGCATCTACATCATTAGACCTCCTTTGCCAGTACCAAAATGGTCGAGCACCAATTGGGTCGAGGCTCAAAAGAAAGCCGTCCCTTGGGGTGGACCAATCAGTTTCAAGGACAATGCATATATTAGCATATGTTTTTTGTTTGCATTTTGACTGCAGGTATTGTGGTTAATGCAGACATGAATCCTAGTAAAAAAAGGTTTCAGTTTTGTTGCGATAAAAAAGGGGAAAACCCCTATTATTACATTTTGGTACTGGCAAAGGAGGTCTAATGAACTAGTGGAATCTACATCTGCAGAACGTCAAGAACCAGTGGCATCTACATTTGCAGATCATAAAACGTTTAAAGCCATTCGCCCGTGTTTAGTGTGCACGCCGTACAACAAGTTTGTAATCGACAGGAGTAAAGTTGGACTTGCGAACAAATCGACTTACGAACAGACCTCTGGAACCTAACTCGTTCGTAAGTAGAGGAGTCCCTGTATGTTTTATAGTTGGATATATTTTTATTCCGTTAAGACACAGATACAGGTGACGCTCCTGAAAGGGTGTCCGGAAAAAGCGAAATTCCATTTGTCGAACCCTATATTACTGTAAAGTAGGGCCCACACGAGGTTGTGGTGGGAAGTCCGTCCTTAATTCACCTCCACCCCAGCCCACACTTGCCCACAGCCCTCTCCCAATCCGTTCCCCGCCAGAATGCCCCGAGCCCCCCGAGGACCCCCTCCCCTGTCCCTGCCCCCACTGCCTCCTTCCTTTTGGCGGGAATCCCCTGCATGCCCGTTAACCCACTGTAAATCTCCGTCCCTACCCTTGACATCCCTTATACTGTACATTACCATTCATTCCATTGGATAATTGGAGATGCGTTTCGGTGGAAAACATTCCCACCCCAGGACGTAATAAATATTTAACAAAAATCACACCTTAGGAATGCAGCTATACTTTTTAAAGCACATCATTATTTAAAAATCTATAATTTTTTTTTTTTTCATAATCATACTCAAAATAAGTCGCAGGAATCTAGTTAGAGTGTGGTAAGTGCACCGCGCAATGGCGTCACAATCCGAATTTGGCAAATGAGAAAAATGACACCACTAAATTACCCAATGGGCACGATGCTCACAATTCATTCAGACGCCACTACGGCGAAAACGTGGCAGGACCCTACTGAAAAACAGTCATGAGACTCGAACCCCGGAGCTGCTGGCGCACCACCACATGATCTTTCAGGCCTACCAAATCCTGGCCCAGCAAACTGCACAGCTGCAGGCGCAAGGCCACGCTGCAGCAGTGGTAGCAGCAGTGGCTCACCACTCAAGCGGTGGCCGCCGCGGGCTACAGGCCACAACATGGGTGGCCTTCACGGCCTAGCAGTGTGGCGGTATTGGTGTTGGTGGTGCTATGCCCGGTTCTTCCTCCACCGTCCCCCTGACATGAGACAGCTCTCAACAAGAACCCATTCTGCTGCGATTGTGATTGACGCGGCCTAAACGTTGGGGAGGGGGGGGGATTCGCTGTGGGCCCTTGCTGTGGCTTATCATTGGGTCGCCATGTCTCCTTGCTGTCGAGGGCTTGCTCTGTGTGTTGGGTCCGCTCTGGCCTGATGTTGGGTCTGGTGGCCTATTGTGGGTCCACGGTGTGGGTCAACTGTTGTCTAATTGGCCTAATTGTGAGTCACCATGGTTCAGTGTGGGTTTGCTGTAGGTCAGAGTGAGCTAATGTGGGTTGGTGTGCAATATTGTGGCCTAATGTGGGTCACTGTGGCCTAATGTGGGTCACTGTGGCCTAATGTGGGCCACTGTGGCCTAATTTGTGGCGCTGTGGCGTAATGTTGGCAACTGGCCTAATATTGGCCACTGTGGATCATGGTGGGTCAGTGTGTCAGGCCAAGCCTTGATCCTGCTATTGTAGTGACAGTAGACGGTACTTCCCGCAAATGGTCAACGCCGAGTGCCGGGCGGGAGTCAATGAACCCGCCCCCCGCCAAGAAGTGCTTAGGGTTGACGAGTACTTTGGTTGGGTAGTAGGACCCTGATGGAGGAAATGCCATCAAAGGATGGATGAGCTAATTTAATTAATTAGCCAACCCCAGTGAGAGGGCAGATGGGGGCTCTTGAGCCACGGAAGGGTGTCTCGGACAAGTCACTCCCCAATAAATAATCTGCAGCAAACCCACCACCGGCCATCCTGGGTTAATTCCACGCCGCTGGATACTGGTGAGCAAGCAGAGAGTGTGTGGCTGGGTGAGGACTCTGCGGAAGCCCTCAACAACCACTTTAATCAATACATGCGCAAGGCATCTCTTGCGTACAGACATATATGGTGATGATGACCGTGAAAACGCGGCAGCAATCTCCTGAGAAAAGGAGACACGAGACTCGACGGCGCTTTCCTGGGTTAGCCAGCGTAGTGATAATACAATCGATTTCTCCTGCACCCAGGCATCATGGACCCGTTCCTGGTGCTGCACCAGCTGCGTTGCAACGGCGTGCTGGAGGGGATCCGCATCTGCAGGAAGGGATTCCCCAACAGGGTCCTCTATGCCGAGTTCAAGCAGCGGTGAGTGCAGGGCCCAGTCTCTTCTTTTTATATAAAAAAAAAGCTTATAGTTTTTTTATAGATTGTAATGACCTTGCCAAGGAGAATGTGATATTGGGTTGTACTGCGGGTGTGCACAGAGCCGATGCCGTGCTTTGGCGAATGAATGAATAGATTAGTGTGCAAGCGAGTAAAATGCATCGTTCCCTGTGTGGCCATGCTCACGGCGTTCTCCAGGTATCGCATTCTCAACCCAAACGCCATCCCGGAAGATAAGTTTGTGGACAGCCGCAAGGCCTCCGAGAGGCTTCTGGGCACGCTGGACATTGACACCAGCCAGTACAAGTTTGGGCACACCAAGGCGAGTCCTGACGTGGAATGCTGTTCCCAAAACCATCGACGCTTTTAAAAAATAGGCGGATTTGGTTGCATGAATATTGTGATGACATCTCAAGGTGCCATCAGGGTTGCGAGTTATGCCAAGCGTCACATGGTCAAGGGATTCTATGGGTCTCTGTGTGGGTCTATCTCGATGTGAGCCTGTGTCTCTATGTGGGTCTCTATGTGAGTCTACAGCTCTCTGTCAGTCTATGGATCTCAACATGGCTCTCTTTGAGTCTTTGGCTCTCTGATAGTCTATGGGTTTCTCATCTCCGTGGCCCTTCTAATCACATCTTCCGTGTCTCTTCTCAACACGTGCCTGATCCGTTTTAAGCCTCACCTCTCCGTTATCTCCCTCTCCTCCCTGTAACGGTATTTAAAAATATTCCGCTGTTGTGTGTCTCACTCGCCTTTTTCACGTTCACAGGTGTTTTTCAAGGCTGGGTTGCTCGGGCAACTGGAGGAGATGAGGGACGAACGACTGGCGAAAATATTAACCATGATCCAAGCGAGGGTGCGTGGAATGCTCATGCGGTTGGAGTACAAGAAGATCATCGACCGAAGGTCAGGCACGCGAGCATGGCGACGGAGCGCAAACGGCCCTTATCTTGACGGCTAAGTGCAGCTCGCTGACAGAATCTCGCGTTGGCACAGACAGGTGAAGCACATCGCCTACTGTGTGGCCACTGTTCCCGTGAACTTTGCTCATTCACTCCTCCACCCACGGAGGAAGGGACTCGGCCTACCAGACTGCCTGTTTCACACACAGCTGTCGTACTGCGGGTCACAACAACACACACCTCTTACACACTCACCTCACCCACCCACATATCACTCAGTTCACATAATTATCTGATAATTATAATTATCATCACTGGTGTTGGCCAAGAGCGGGAATCAAACTCAGGTCACTGGGGTTTGTAGTGCAGTGTGCTAACCACTACGCCACCACTCCCCATAAATGCTCACCCACCCACCCCCGGACCCACCCACTCACCAGCCTGCTCCCCACTCAATGTCTCCCATTCCACCAGCACTGAGATCCAAGCCTCCGCATTTATACTCTTTGGTTCTATTCGGTAAAGTGACGTAGGTAAAAAATAAAACAACAAAAATCACGACGTTTCGGCCACAACACAAGCAGCCTTCATCAGGTGAAGGGATCAGGCTGTCTCGAGGACAGCGCTGGAGTGGAACACAGCCACGCTCAGACCGCGACCTTTAAGCTGTGTGCGAGGAAACAAGGTGCCTTGACAAAGGAATTAGCATAAAAATTAGCATTTGATTGGCCGACTTAGCATAGAGGTGGTGTACATGTGGGTGCACATGGCGGTTGGCACGGGGGGGGGGGGGGAGGGGGAGTTTACCTATTGATGGTGTGAAAAGGGAATTTTTAAGAGCTGCGAAAGTTTGGGGTACCACTACTTGAAAAATATACTGTACCATTGAAAATTAGTTTAATCTTTGGTTCGATTTAGAACATCTTTCCAATGGTTGCTTAATTTGAAACCATCTTCGCATTTAGTTTCCGCTCTAATTTTGTGTTCCCAACCTCACCCCAGGAACCCCCTTAATCTCCCCATAATAACCACCACCTTTCCTGTTCGCTCTTCATAAATATCTCTCTCTACGTCTACCACTCATCCGTCAATCCAATCCATCCATCATCGTTTTTGCTCTCGTAATTTTTTCTATAAGCCCCATTGATGCATCACAGGTTCGCCCATCGCTTCCTCTCATTTATTCACCTCGTCCTCACCGTCACATTCGTGCGCACCGTCCTTAATTCTCTGTTAAAGCGGCCTTGGTCGAGGCGCTACATAAATTACGTTAAGACGAGATTGTCCAATGTTCCGCCACGCCAACAGGGACGCGCTGCTCATCATCCAGGCGAACATCAGGGCCTTCATGGCCGTCAAAAACTGGGCCTGGATGAAGCTCTTCTTCAAGATCAAGCCGCTGCTGAAGAGCGCCGAGACCGAGAAGGAGATGCAGAACATCAAGGAGGAGTTCCAGAAGCTCAAGGAGCTCTACGCCAAATCGGAGGCGCGGAGGAAGGAGCTGGAGGAGAAGCAAGTCGGCCTCATCCAGGAGAAGAACGACCTCAGCCTCCAACTGCAGGCCGTGAGTCCAGGGTTTATCAGAATCAATGTATTTGTACTGGAGGAATCCGATGAGCAATAAAGCTATTTTTTTATATTTTTTACGGAGATCCACTAGGGGTGGGTCAGAACGTTACAATGGCAAACGATACAAAAACACGATAAGAATGCGAAGTATAGCAGTAAACAAATCACTTTAAAAAAATATTTAACAATCTTTTTTTATAATAATAATAACATTTTGGTACTGGCAAAGGAGGTCTAATGATGAAATTTTTTTTTACCTTACCAAGTAAGGCCCACTGAGCTATTAGCTTCTTTTTCAAAAGTGACCTGGTCACAAATGATAGCTCACCGAAGTGGCTTATCATGTGGACATTTTATAGCGGCCAAATAATCGAAATACTTGAAACGCATAATTTTTATTCTGAATTTGGAGGGAAAAACCGGAGGACCCGGAGGAAAAAATCCACCGCAAACTTCAATAATACAGCAGGCGTCAGCGTTGGGATCGAACCCTCGATCTGCACAGCATGTATACATTGGGGGCGCGCAGAGTGGCCACAAAGTCCCTTTGTATTCTTAGTTCTTTCGGTAAAGTCACGTTGAAGGGAAACAACAAAATAATAAAAAAATATAAAACAATAAAAAAATAAAAATTCTCACGACGTTTCGACCATAACACAAACGGTCGAAACGTCGTGAGAATTTTTTTATTGTTTTATATATATTTTATTATTTTGTTGTTTCCCTTCAACGTGACTTTACCGAAAGAACTAAGAATATGAATTACTGCAGTCACGAAAGCTTTAAATCAAAAAGTCCCTTTGCTTGAAAAAAGAAAATATATTTAATGTTACCTCTGTCATGGGACCGTTTTTGCCAGTATCAAAGTATGAAAAATAAGAATAGATTCTTCCCCTTTCTGGCAATAAAACAGGAAGCGTTAAGATGTTCAAACACCAAGTAGGTTCCTTTTACGAGGAATCGTGTCTGCATTAGCCACACAGAGTACTTGTGGTGAGCATGCAAACAAAACATCCTCTAAAAATATTTGCATTGTCTTCGCAACTGATTTGCCTACACCAGAGAAAACCTTCTTCATAACGTAGTCTCACTGCCAGTGTCCGACTAGAGAACGCCAAAAGGCGAACAGCACAAAGACAATGCCACTATCAGAGCATTCATAGCTCGGTGTGAGCGGCTATATCATGGGATACCTTTGCTGGAACGTCCCCGTGTGTTTGTCCTCTATTGCCGAGCGCACAGCTCTCGATTCGCATCAAAGTTCTTCTCGACGGATCCCTCCAATCGGGTGGCTGCATACCGCACAAGCAGTTGCGGACAGCTGTTCTCACTTCCTCATTATTATAATTATTCATAATAAAAAGGTTTTTGGGTTAGAATAACGACCTCGCCTGATGAAGCAGGTTGTGATCACCAGCAAAACGTCGAACTCAGTTGTAAAATGTTGTGGGTTTACTCTCCATCACACCGGTGTGCTGAAGCGCCGTGCTGCTGCTGCTGCTGTTCAGTTCTTCAGCACATCGTCTGACGTTCTGCTCCACATGCCGGGAACATCTCTGCATGAATTCACCGCAGAGAGAGAGAGAGAGCTGCGGTCAAAAAATAAAATTTCAGCATTCGGACGAAACCGCATGCGCGCAGTGCCACAATGGACCACGGCACGGCGTGAGTGAACGAGCCACCCCCCCGTCCCGATGACGATCCGCTCTTCCCCGCAGGAGCAAGAGGTGATCGCGGACGCCGAGGAGCGCTGTGACATGCTGATCAAGGCCAAGCTGCAGCTGGAGACGAAGGTGAAGGAGCTGACGGAGCGGCTGGAGGAGGAGGAGGAGATGAACTCGGAGGTGACCTCCAAGAAGCGCAAGCTGGAGGACGAGTGCGCCGAGCTCAAGAAGGACATCGACGACCTGGAGCTCACGCTGGCCAAGGTGGAGAAGGAGAAGCACGCCACGGAGAACAAGGCAAGTGGGCAGCGGGGAGCTGGTCGTACGGACAACGACGACAACGGCGATGATGACGATTCCGAACTTGTTACGAGTCGCCGCGTGCCATTCGATCAATCCGGCAGAGAGAGCGAGAGGACGACTCAGAGGGGCGAAGAGGAACCACGGATAATCAGAATCTGTATCGGCACGGGATACGAAGGTTTTTAACAAACAACGCGAATACACGATAGTGGTGACAAGTAAAAGAAAGGAAAAACAAATGACCCAAAAACATGCAAATACAACAATAAACCATCCCCATCCGACCACGCAAAGCCCACCGAGGCATTCACCGCTTTTTCAGAAGCGACCTGGCCGCAAATGATCCGCTCGTCGTGCGGTAAAATCCATAGCAGCCAAGATTAGCGACGACGATTCCAACTTGTAACGAGCCACCGCCGCCACCAATCCATTCGCTCGCTCTCTCATATCATCTCAACGTAAGTTGTACAGCGCCTTGACCAAGGTCCTTTACATTCGTACGTACCATTGTTAATAATCTGTAATGGTGGAGATGATGCGAATAGAATAGATGAGAGCAAGTCGTGGGCGAACCCGTGATGCGTCAATTAGGCAAAAGCAAAAATTTTATGAGAGCAAAATGATGATGAATGGATTGGATGGATGGGGAATGAGTGGTAGCCGTGGAATGAGATTGTAAAGAGGGAGCGGGAATGGTGGAAGTGTTTATAAGGGAGAGAGATTAAGGGGTCGTGCGGTGAGCTAGGGGGAAAAAAGTGAGTTTTGAGGGAGGAGCGCATTGGTAGAGAGGGAAGGAACGACTCAAAGGCTGTAAGGAGGAACCACAGATTTGTGGGAAGGCGGCAGCTGCCACGCGGTGGCGAACCAGTACCAACAATTCGCCAAGCTCTGCCATCCTCTATATATTAAGGGAATAAACCGGAGCCCCCTGGAGAAAATCCACGCGTGCGAGGGGGAAACACTCGATCCCGTAGTGACAGAAATGGGTGACGTCCATATATTTGCTGTCGTTCCATCTTCTCCTGGCAAGTAGGGGTGTGACAACTCGACGCTCGACAGGAAGGGGTGCTTCGCAAACATTCGTGCAATCCACCATCCCTCGCTGGCATGCTTAGCCACCGTGTTAATGAACAGGCCCTCTCTTTTTTATTTAAAGGTTTCGTGACTGCAGGGATTCACAGCAAGAAAATGTTATTGCTGTGGTTTTCACACCTGATAATGATTGCTTGTGTTGCAATCAAAACGTCGTGAGAATTTTATCGTTTTATATTTTTATTATTTTATTGTTTCCCTTCTACGTGGTGACTTTACCGAAAGAACCAAGAATATGAGCTCCTCTCTTATTTTCTTAATCACAGTTGCAGGGCACTGGGCCAAAGTGACAATGTGCCAAGCGGCCAGCAGCGGCACTGTTGAAGCAGTATGTACGTATGTGTGTATGTTGAACTTCTTTCACACCGTACGTAGCAAGCCATGCTACATTGTTGGAGAACCGTCGAGTAAAGCCGGCGGTCACCGCATCGCTGCACTTTCAGATGCCCTCCTGCAGCCGTCTGGAACGCTCTCTCTTCCTATATTAGGAAGCCACTGGAGCTGTGCACTTTTATATCTAGACTGAAAAATAAAAAAATTTCAGGACTGATTTTTCCATTTAGTTTGTTTTCCCTTCCCCCCGCACCTCCAATTAGCGTGGTGGGCTACGTATGGTGCGAAAGAAGTTCAACACACACACACACACGCACATCATCCGAGTAATAGATTCGTGCAACTCAGCGACGGGCGAGGGTCTCGTGGGGGTTATTGCGCCGTGCGCAACCACGGCGGTGGTCGCTGCCGTTTGGCGAAGGTCGGGCGGCAGGGGACGTGGGAGCACAGACGCACGGGCGACGCTGCTTGCACGGCGCCGCCGATCTCGGCATCGCCGCGTGCAGCAGACTTGCCACAACGTTCCCGCACCACGGCGGCCTCCCAATCCGTGCGCTATCCAGGCTCAACCCCCACCACCCCCCCCCCCCCCCACCCCTGCTGAGCATTTTCGAGACCTTGGCTTAGGCCACGGCGCGTGTCGGGCGATTGGCCCGTGGGGAAATGGAGGACGCTCCAAGAATTGACGGCATCATCGTCGTGTGGCACCGCGCAGGTTAAAAACCTCATGGAGAAGATGACAAACCTGGACGAGGTCATTGCCAAGTTGACCAAGGAGAAGAAGGCCCTGCAAGAGGCCCACCAGCAGACTCTGGATGACCTTCAGGTGGAGGAGGACAAGGTCAACTCCCTGACCAAGGCCAAGGCTAAGCTGGACCAGCAGGTGGATGATGTGAGTGGGTATTTTTGTTTTATTTTTCGCTTTTAAGGTTCTAATAACGTAACGTTAGGTGAAAAGGTAAAGGCGCAGCCGTGAAAATGTTTTGCTCACGCGACTGCTGGCGGAAGACCCTGCACCTCCAGAGAGGGTATTTGGCCTACTCTTCCATGGGCGGCCAGACGTCTCGGAAGAGTTGGAAGTAATCATACTTAATTGCCCGATGAACGTAAAGATGATTTGTATTTATTATTATTATCGTCATTGCTGTTTTTGGTTCATAAATTGTCGCAAAGATTATGTTGTTTGGATTTCTGGTTGACGTTTTTGTTTGTTGTTTAAAAGCTTGAAGGGTCGCTGGAGCAAGAGAAGAAGGTCCGCATGGAGCTGGAGAGAGCCAAACGGAAGCTCGAGGGAGACCTCAAGTTGACGCAGGAATCCGTCGTGGATCTGGAAAACGACAAACAACAAAAGGATGAGAAGCTTAAAAAGTGAGCCTGCCCGAATTTTGCAATGCAACGTTTCACGATGCGAGGCCACGTCAAGTGGTCGCGATCATGACGGTCTGTCGAAGCTTGGTAATTGCATTTCGCATCTTGATACTTAAGTAGTTGCTGTGCTTCACCGCACTTAAAATATAAATTAGGTTCGCTCAGGTCTTCAACTGCCGTTCACATAATCCTGCCACTAGCCCTCTAATCGTTGCGACAACAAAAACAACCTCTAATGCTTATAGCGCACTGCATGGTACAGTTGCACATTAAGTAGTTCAACAAACTATGAAGGCCGTGTCGTCATTTAATAGCCATGCTGTCAATGACTCCGGCGACCATTGTTCAGAGTAATAATTTAATGCATAGATGATCACTTCCAACCTTGAATGGGCGACTTGGGCATTTCATAGATAATTTGTCAGGAACTGTACTATTTCACGAAAGGAATTACTTTAATCAAACGTTACGTTTATAAAGAGACTTGGAGTCATGATCACGGCTCGACGATATTTAACGAAAGTGACGGTATTTTTTCGATCATCGTGGTGTCAGCATATCGTGGCAACCCTGTCATTATAATAATGCATTAATGACTGCAAAGTGTATCGTCGCACGTCAGATTTTGCGTGTGTGTGTTAATGTGTTGGACGAAATTGGTGTTGCGTTTCCCCTGCAGGAAGGACTTTGAAATTTCGCAGCTCAACTCAAAAATTGAAGACGAGCAGGCCTTGGCTGGGCAGCTCCAGAAGAAGATCAAGGAACTCCAGGTGTCCATTTTCACTCAGAATCAATCGTCACAATTATTTAGGCTTGTAACTCGCCACGCAGGTCTTTTTTGCTCGCTCCCAAAGACAGAGAGACAGAGACTCAGAAGCACAAAGAGCCACAGGTGTGCGGCAGCAGCCACACGGCGGCGAGCCGGCGGCGCTACCAAGCACTGCCCAAGCTCTGTGGTTCTATTTGTGCCAAGATGTTTCGAGCTAAATTGAGTGTTCATGCACGTGGGACGAAACCAAGAGTGCCCAGGGACAACCCACGCGTGCGAGGGGAGCAACACTTTATCCCCGTGCAGATGGAAACAGATGGAGATTAGTCCACTTGCTGGCGAGCCAGGGCATGGCCCGCCTCCTCGACGCCCATGGGTGGGGAGCTTCACAACATTTGTTTGCAATCCACCGACCCTCGATGCCTCCACAGCGCTCGATTACAGGCAGCCACGTGCATAGCTATCCCCCCCCTCCACCCCGTCCACTTAGACAGATGGAGAGAGCTAATGCATGATCAAAAATAGTCGAGTAAAGAGTCAAAGAGTTTAGAATCGCGTGACCGAAAAGCGTCATTGCCTCGTCAATTTGCCCGTTTGTTGGCGCTGGCGACATCGGCGCGTTATTGCCGAGACCTGGATGAAGAGGAACGTTCGGCAACAGCACACGAATCGCGCCCCGTTTGCCTCCCCGCTTAAAACGAACAGGGTGGCCCCCGGTGAGGCAGATCTAACGGATAAACGGGTTCAACCCCAGGTTGGAAAACATTAAAACTTTTAACAACATGATAATATGGTTTTCCCTTTTTTTCTGGCAACAAAACAGGTGTTAAGATGTTAAAACACCAAACTGAAAAAACCTTTTACAAGGAATCACGTCTGCATTAACCACAATGCTTGTGGTCAGAATGCAAACCAAAAACACACTCTGATAATATATATGCATTGTCCTTGAAACTGATTGGTCCACACCAGAGACAGTTTTCTTTTGAGCCTCGTCTCAAACGGTGTTGGCGTCCTCTGGTCTAACACCGTTTCAAGGACAATGCATATATATTACCAGATTATGTTTTTTGTTTGCATTCTGACCACAAGTAGTGTGGTTATAGCAGACATGATTCCTTGTAAAAGGTTTCAGTTTGGTGTTTTAACATTTTAACACAGCTGTTTTGTTGCCAGAAAAAAGGGGAAAACCAATGATCATAATTTGGTACTGGTAAAGGAGGTCCCATGATGTAGACTATTAACAAGACGCAACCAATTAAAAAAATATATGTATCTTTATTTTATGTAAACGAAACAACTATTTAAAACTATGAATTATTTTATTTTACCAGCTAAGGCCCACTGAGCTATGTAGCTCTTTGTCAGAAGCAACCTGGCCACAAATGATAGCTCAACTAACTGGCTTGTGTCGAAATTTACAGCAGCCAAATCCTCTTAAATGCACGATGTTGATTCTAAATGTGGAGGGAAAAACGTGGAGGTCCCGGAGAAAAATCCACGCGACCACGCGGAGAGACACGCAAACTCCAAATATACAGCAGCAGGTGTCAGGGTCGGAATCGAACCCACGACCTCCTGTATACCAGGCGAGGTAGTTAACATCTCCTAGCCACCGTGATGATGAGAGAGAGAGACACGCAAACTCCAAATATACAGCAGCAGGTGTCAGGGTCGGAATCGAACCCACGACCTCCTGTATACCAAACGAGGTAGTTAACATCTCCTAGCCACCGTGATGATGAGAGAGAGACACGCAAACTCCAAATATACAGCAGCAGGTGTCAGGGTCGGAATCGAACCCACGACCTCCTGTATACCAAGCGAGGTAGTTAACATCTCCTAGCCACCGTGATGATGAGAGAGAGAGAGACACGCAAACTCCAAATATATAGCAGGTGTCAGGGTCGGAATCGAACCCACGACCTCCTGCACACCAGTCGATGTAGTTAACATCTAGCCACTGTGACGCCCATTAATTTAAAAAAAAATGTCTCAACGTATTCCAAACCTGTGCGCCACCGCCGCCCCCCCCGGCCAACCGTCTCCTCTCCGTGGATCGCCCGCCCCCCCCCCCCCCCCCCAAGGCTCGCATCGAGGAGCTGGAGGAAGAGCTGGAGGCGGAGCGGGCGGGGCGCGCCAAGGTGGAGAAGCAGCGCTCCGAGGTGGCGCGCGAGCTCGAGGAGCTGAGCGAGCGTCTGGAGGAGGCGGGCGGCGCCAGCGCCCTGCAGCTCGAGGTGACCAGGAGGCGCGAGGCCGACTTCCTGAAGCTGCGGCGTGACCTGGAGGAGGCGGCGCTGTGCCACGAGGCGACGGCGGCGGCACTGCGCAAGAAGCACGCGGACGGTGCCGCCGAGCTGGGCGAGCAGCTGGACAACCTCCAGCGGGTCAGGCAGAAGCTGGAGAAGGAGAGGAGCGAGCTCAAGATGGAGGTGGACGACCTGGCCTCCAACATCGAGCAGGTCACCAAGGGCAAGGTGAGGATGGCCGTCTCGTCCGCCGTGCTGCTGCGCGCGTGCGTGCGCGGTAGTGCGTAGGTGCTACTCGGCTAACAGCACTTGCCCCAGCAGTCTGCTCGGGCGATACGGGGGAGCTTTGTCTTTTGGTAGCGTAGCGGCTAGCGTGCCGCGCTACAAACCCGGCGACCCGATTTCGATTCCAGCTCACGGCAACCAACGCCAGTGACGATTATCTGAACCGGTCCTGCGCCTCCCCTCTCGCTCTGTCCTACCGCCTAATTTGTATTGCACGTCTCACCCGTACCGTCTGGATCGCCGCACGCTGTGCGAAACCAAACTCGACGAGAACTAAAAGGCAGACAAAACTCGGTGGGCACGACGCGCGAGGGGGCGCGACAAGAGGAGAGACCCCGAGGCGACGCGCTTCTCTGCGGGCTGGTGGTGCTCGGTGCGTTTCGCCCCACAGGCAAACGCGGAGAAACTTGCCCGCATGTTCGAGGACCAGCTGAACGAGACCAAAACGAAGGTGGACGAGCTGCAGCGTCAGGTCACGGAGCTCTCCTCGCAGAAAGCCAAGCTCGAGACCGAAAACGGTACCATGGCCACTCCGCCCCCACCTCGAGTACACTCACTGGGGACAGCACTGGGCCCGAGAATAACGAGAAGGGTAAAATCTGCGCTATCGCGCTATATCTTATGCACGTACGAATGTACGTTGAACTCCTTTCGCCGGAGAAGGAGAAGAGCTCATTGTCACCGACGTAAGTAAATAGATCAATTTTGAGCGTCGTGAGTGGAATAAATTCTCCTGCGGAGGGAGGAGCTGGTAGGAACGTTGGGTTGCTCGGTCAATGGTCAGGGTCAACGGGGGCACCACGTGGTGTTTTCCGCAAAAATATGCCCGACTGTGAGGGCGGGCACAAGCCGGCGTGAAGGGTGGGGACCGAGTGGGGTCCTGGGATGGTGGAGATATAAAAAAAAAAGCTGTTCCTCAAAAAAAAAAGAGTACAATACCCACCGGGGGGTTGTTGCAACAAGTTGTCATACAATACTTACTCTACCTGGATGTGCATGTACCACCTAAAGCAGCCTCTCCCCCCCCGCCTGAATAGAGTGCAATTCCGCCAGCAGGCGGTGGCGGAAGGCGGGTATCGCGTCCAGGTCGTACCACTCGAAGGCAGTTCAGGACGCCGTCGCTGTCGCCATCGTGGGCGACGAAGCGGCCGTACGCCCGCACGGCGTGCATGACATTAACGATGGGGTGCACGCCGCAGTCGTCGGAGTTTTGTCTGCCCCGGCACAACCGCCCGGACGGCACGCAGCGGCGCTGCGACAGGCGCGCCAGGCGGCAGGACCCTGCGAACGAGTTCGGCGGCGGGCGCCTCGAGCGTTGTCCGACCTGCCGTTGCTTCGCGCTAGCCAGTCGAGGACAAACACAGTCGCGCCGGCCGGGCTGGCCTCGTTTGGCAATCGGCAGGAGTTGCCAATGCGCCGCCTCATGTATCGGAACGATCCATGAGGAATGGTGTGGGGTTTTTTTCAACACAGGGAACCGTACCTCGTATAGCAGCAGCTCCCAAGGTCGGTAGTTGATACAGCGCACGTGTGTACAGTGCCCTGTGCAGAAATGTGTACAGTGCTCAACTAAATGTTTTATTTTGACCGGGCAGGGCCCACTGAGCTGAATACGATTCCGAAGTGACCTTGCCTCGAATGATGGCTAAACGAATTGGTGGCTTATAATGTAGAGATTGAGAGCAACCGCATACTCCAAACGCATGTCGTTGAGTCTCCACGTGGAGGGGAAAATGTCGTGAAGATGGCCGCACGTGGTTGGTGGCCACCCACCCCCTCGTGTGTGCCATAGCCTCCTTACTCACCCAGCCCCTCCCTCCCCACCCTCCCCTCTCCACCCAGCCCCACCCCTCCCATTTTTGGATGCACGACGGACGGACGGACACAATAATCCCCTGTGAGCTGGTGGAACCAGAAGGGTCCTACTAGTATAATAATGGTTATTTTGTTTTACGTATTTTGTATGTACGTATATGTTGAACTTCTTTCACACCGTATGTAGCCAAACGTGCTAATCGGAGGTGCGGGGTAAGGACAATAAACTAAACACAAAAAGCAGTTCTAAAGAAATTAGTTGTCAATCTAGATTTAAAAGTGCATAGCTCCAGTGGCTTCCTAAGAGGGCTCTATATATGATTCAAAGTTTTGCTGGCTGGCCGGGACGGACGGACGCGTTCAAAAGACACTGTTATCAGTACATATAAATATTTGACTCAATTCACCGACCGGCTGTCCTGACAATTTTGCGTAGGGGGTTACTGCACTCCTCACACGTCAACTTCTATGCACAAAGAGCGTCCAACTGAATGTGTGACCGCATACGTTGACCGAACTAAAAGAATGACTGCGTGAACTCCGCTAAAACCCCACATGTCGTCGTCGTCGTCGACTGAACTGTGACTACAACAACAAACGACGACGACCATGATTGCGTTGACACCGACCTGCTGCTGCTGCTGCCGCTCTTAACCGCCTGGCTCCCCGACAGGCGAGATGGGCAGACAGCTGGAGGAGAGAGACGCGATGGTGAGCCACCTGTCCAGGGGAAATTGTTCCTTCACTCAGCAAATCGAGGAACTCCGGAGGCACCTCGAGGAGGAAACCAAGGTGAGGCATTTAGGGGACGGGGGGGGGGGGGGTGCTGCTTGGGGAGGCCTTCATCCAGCAGTGGATCGATCAGTGCTGATGATGACGAGGAAGATGGCGGTAGCGATGATGGCGTTGACAGGGTCTTTTCTACGAATGCTTCGCAGCTATGGAATGTATGGAAATATTTTCAGAATCATAATATCTATTTATACAGGAGGAATCCGATGAGCTATGAAGCTCTCTTTTTTTTTTACCAGATTTCCTAGAGGCGCGGGTAAAAACGTACAACAACTAATGAAACGCATGTGTGTAGAACTTAGTTCGCACCGTACGTGGCCGACCGTGCTAATCTGAGGAGCATGATCTGCTCCCCCACGGTCACATTGCAGCACAACCCCCCATCTCAAGCACACATCAACGACGATGACGATGATGACGACGACGACGACGACGACGACGACGACGATGATGACGACGACGACGACGACGACGAAGACGACGACGACGCCGCCACGCGCGACAGCCGCTCCACGCACGCCCCGGCGGGCACTTCGTTAAATCGTCCGCCGCGTTACGACGCCGCCATGACGTGCGCTACGACCCACGTGACGCGCTCAACCGTGCCCTCGACTCGTTTCACCACTCGCGAAAGCGTGCGGTATCGAGCTCGGCGATGATGATGATGATGCATCTCCACCATCTCCTCGTTCCTCCGCTGTCCCCCTCCTGCCCCCCCCCACCCCACCGCCGGCACGCAGGCCAAGACGGCGCTGGCGCACGCGGTGCAGTCGGCGCGCCACGACTGCGACCTGCTGCGCGAGCAGTACGAGGAGGAGCAGGAGGCCCGGGCCGAGCTCCAGCGGGCGCTGTCCAAGGCCAACGCCGAGGTGGCGCAGTGGAGGACCAAGTACGAGACGGACGCCATCCAGCGCACCGAGGAGCTGGAGGAGGCCAAGTGAGGGCGCACATCGTAGGCGCTGCCGAGTGGGGGAGAAGGGGTGGGGGGCAGGGGGGTAAGGGGGCGAGGGGGGGGGGTGGCGAGCAGCAGCTAAGGGGACACCTTCGTCCGGCAGGGTGGCGGAGAATCGACCGAGGCCGATGACGGCCGCTTTCGTTTCATTTCGTCCGCCCGCGCGTTCAGGAAGAAGCTCGCCGCCCGACTCCAGGAGGCGGAGGAGGCGGTGGAGGCCGCCAACGCCAAGTGCGCGTCGCTCGAGAAGACCAAGCACCGTCTGCAGAACGAGCTGGAGGACGTCATGGTGGACGTGGAACGCTCCAACGCGGTGGCGGCCGCCCTCGACAAGAAGCAGCGTAGCTTCGACAAGGTGCTAGCCGAGTGGAAGCAGAAGCACGAGGAGCAGCGGTCCGAGCTGGAGGGGTCGCAGAAGGAGGCTCGTAGCCTCGGCATGGAGCTCTTCAAGCTGAAGAACGCGTACGAGGAGGCCCTGGACAACCTGGAGACGGTCAAGCGTGAGAACAAAAACTTGCAAGGTGCTGATGATGCTGATGATGGTGATGCTATTGATGAGTGGGGGGTTTTCGCGGTTGCGCTGTGCGTCTCTGCGATGCGGTGTTTGATTCTGGCCGTAACCGCCACTCGTTGTTGCCGATGTTGATTGGCGCGATGTCCGACGTTTTGCTCCACATTCGAGGGGAAAGAAAGCAAGCTCTCCTCAATTCACGTTCCCGAAGAAGCTCCCGGCGCGGTAAGGCTCAGAAAGGTCACCACAGATCCATGAGACGATAGTCGAACGGATTTTTGGTTACATTCTCAATTCTGGACGGCAGGAAGATTCAGTGCAGAACCAAATTGAATTTGATGGTGTGGCTGGTTTATTTTGTTATAAAAAATCCTTCTGGGTTGAGACCATCAACTCGGGCTACACGCGACGACCCGGGTTTAAATCACTGGCGGCTGGCTACCCTTTAGACATCCGTGAAAAAGAGCTTTACAGCTCATCGAATTCGTCCAGTATATAAATATATAAATATTCGGAATCCCGATTCTATACCGATGGCATCGGCGGTGGACCCGCTCAGCGCCCTGACCTCCCACGGTGCCACGTGGTCACCCACTGTTAATTAAACTTTGGTATTAGTCAGGCGTGCAAATCACATTTCTGTGGCTTTAAGAAAAGCATTGCCCCTTACCCCAATATGTGTTTGATATTTTAAAGCCCCTTTCGTGTGAGCGAGCGGATGAGGAGCCAGCGAGCGAGCATCCTCTCCTTTGCGCTTTGAGCCGCGAGTCTTTTGTTTGTTTATAGAGGAGATTGGAGACCTCACGGAGCAGCTTGGGGAACTCGGAAAGAACATTCACGAATTGGAGAAGATGAAAAAACAAACAGAGCAAGAAAAGCTGGAGATTCAAGCAGCATTGGAAGAGGCAGAGGTAATACGGAAATAAGAATAACCATCCTCATTACCACGGTCATCGTTCTCGTCACAACCAGGAGTGTCTTAAGCATCATCGGCAGCAGCGTTATTATTACCAGCAGCATTATCACCAGGATCCTCACGACCACAATTCAGTACAGATGAATTCATAGCAATAATTTACAGCACTCGCTCCACTGTTGATATTATTCGGCACGATGTTCATCGCGCGGTGTGCTAACGCCAGCATACCACCGCTCCTCGCTCCCGCAAACAACATAGCCAGCAAGTCGCAACCTCCGATGAGCACGGTTGGCTACGTACGGTGCGAAAGAAGTTCAACGTGCGTAAATGCGTACCAATAACGAACGTCAATAGGTGCGGCACCGTCACGAGTCCGCACCAACATCGATGTCGCCATTTTTAACACAACGCGACCAAATGTCCTCGTTTGGCCAGGACACAGTCTTCGGTTGTAGAAAGTTTTTTTTCCCCCGGTGTCCCCTCTCTCCCACCCCCCCCCCCCCCACCCTCGTCATCATCATCAACAACAACGACCGACCGGGCATTGTTGTTGGGTGCCCCTCCCCAGGGCGCTCTCGAGCACGAAGAGGGCAAGAGCCTGCGCCTGCAGCTGGAGCTGAATCAGGTGAAGGGCGACGTCGACCGGAAGATCGCCGAGAAGGAGGAGGAGATCGACAACCTGAGGTGCCGGCGTTGCGCTCGTTGTCGCTGAACGCAGCGAGCAAAGGAAGCGTTCGTCGGCGACGGGGTTTTTTCAAAAGACAAATATCTATAGGCCGACCTGACAATATGGAGTGGGATAAATGTTTATTGCCTCGGGTCCAACTCGACGGAGAGATCGATTACAAAGAAACGCACAGACGAGGACTTTAACAAAATCTTAACGGGTCGTCCGAATTCCGGTGGTTATCGGTGACTGACGGTGACCGACGGCGACGACGTCGTATGGACGAACAGCAACGTGTCACATTGTGACGCTAACTATTGACACCCAGTGGAATGCTTCCTGAAGATGCGGAGTTAATTTCAGTGAGCAGCTGGTCACTCGATGTTTTACTGTTTGTTCACCACATTCGAAATGTATGTACCTCCAATAAGCACGGTTGGCTACGTACAGCGCGAAAGAAGTTCAACATACGTAATAGCATGGTTGGCTGCAAAGACAAAGATTCCGCCGTGTAGCCTCAACAGACCGTTGGGGCAAGTGCTGTTAAGCGAGCACCTATGAAGGCCGGCACGACACACGACGGAGTGGATGGCCAGCACCACGCCCGGCCGCCTTTGTCTACCGAGTGGCGATGTTTACACACCGCACCAGATACTCATTTGAGGTTGAGTCGACCTAGAGGAGGCCCAGGACCGGTTCAGATAATCGTCACCGGTGAGCGGGAATCGCTGGGTTCGTAGTGCAGCGCGCGCTAACCGCTACCCTACCACGGTGCGGGCTCCCTGCAGACGCAACCACCAGAACGCGGTGGAGGCCATGCAGGCGGCAATGGATGCGGAGGCGAAGGTCAAGAACGAGGCGGTGCGCCTCAAGAAGAAGATGGAGGGGGACCTGAACGAGATGGAGATCCACCTCAACCACGCCAACCGTCAGGCCGTCGAGTTCCAGAAGCTCACGCGTACCCTGCAGGGCCAGCTGAAGGTAACGGCGGCGGTCGGGAGGCGGAGCGGAGTTGAGCCTGGGGAGCACGGGGGATGGGCGACCGTGACTGCACGGCAGCCTACAGCAAAGACCAGCACTGGCAGCACGGTCAAACGTGGTTTAAGCGACCACAAACAGCACGTGGACATAAAAGGGCTGTACATGAGGACAACCGCCCCCTCCCCGCATCCACCGATCAGGAGTTGAACTCGGCAAGGCACCTCGAGGGCTTTTATTCGCTTGAACCCACGCAATCCCCCTCCACCCTCCCCGCAACTATGCGGGGAGGTAGGTAGGGCCTTCATCCAGCAGCGGGTTGACATAACAGGGGCCGAGTCTTCCTGCTATGGTCGATGTGGACGTAGAGCAGCGGCTATCATTTTATGTGGAGGTGCTCGAGCCGGATGATTGCATCACGAGTAGCGGAGTGTTGCATCGCTCCGATGATCGTTTCGACTTTTAAAGCGCACATTATTCGCTTTCTCTCGACGAGAGAGGAGGCGATGACTCAGGAAGCAAGAGGAACCATGGATAAAGTAGGAACGGCAGCAGCCACCATGTGGCTGCTGCCGTTCCTGTTTAACACGTAGGCTTTGCCGACCAATATTATCCCTAAGAGGTTTTTTTTTTTGGTTAGATCGCGTAAATATAAATGTGTCGATAAACCTCGAATTGTAAATATAAGTGTTGTGGGTTTACTCTCCAAAGCACTGGTATGTTGTATTAGTAACGAATTGGTATGTTTTGTTTATGTGATAAACTTTACTAATTGGCTGTGTTGGGTGGTGGCGGGTTTAATGACATTTATATTTACGTGATCTAACAGAAAAAAAACCTATGGATTCTCAAGCTCTGCGGTCCTCTGTATCTTAAGGTGTTATAGGCCTCCTTCAAATTTATGCATCGGGCATCGAGTCGTCAAACGTTCCACGGTCTGTTCTGGGTGGCGACCACAGTCGTCACAGACTGCTGGAAGAATTTTAAAAAATCCGCATCAGTTGCTGCCACGGTCCGTGCGGTGGATGCGGTTCAGGGGTTGCGGCCCCGTGAGCTTCAGGGCGGGGGAGATCGACGGCCAGGGATCTTCTGCGTCGCCTGGACTCTCACGATGGGGACGGCGTTGGCGGTGACGGCGGCCGTGCCGGTTCCGCGCGTGCGACCGTGCAGGACCTGCAAGCGCAGCTGGACGGCGCGCTGCGGGAGGGCGAGGGCTACAAGGAGCAGGTGGCGGCCGTGGAGCGGCGCAGCACCCTGCTGGCGGCCGAGCTGGAGGAGCTGCGCTCGGCGCTCGACCAGACGGAGCGAGGGCGCCGCCTCGCCGAGCAGGAGCTCCTGGAGGCCACCGAGCGCGTCAACCTCCTCCACTCGCAGGTGCCGGCCCGTCCAACTCCCAACCCCTGCCCCCCCCACCCCCACTCCCCCACCTACCCCACTTCCTCTCCCCCCCCCCGCCTGACTCCCCCTCCCCGCCTCTATTTAATACTTTTCATTTACTTTACGTTAATGATAACCTATTTTTTGCGTTTTTTTATCATAGTAATTGTCACGTATTTTAAACAGCACATTTACATATTTATTTCATGAAGGTAATTCATAAAAAGAAAAAAGATAGGATTTGCCAAGGCCAATATCGTAATCCGCCAAATTTTCCATTCACGAGCACCTCGGGAAACGTTTTGCTCGCGAAATAACGAGGCAGGGAACCCTGGCACTGCGCGTGTCTCCGGCCCGCAGAACATGTCCCTGATAGGCCAGAAGAAGAAGCTGGAGACGGACGCCTCTCAGCTGCAGGGAGAGCTGGAGGAGGCCATCCAGGAGTGCCGCAACGCCGAGGATAAGGCCCACAAGGCCATCACGGACGTGAGTGCCGCCCCCTCACCACACCCACCGCCCCCACCGCTTCACGCGACGAGCATCGTTTGCTCTTAAATTGTCTTGGTCGTCAGTTTCATCACCATCGTGTTCATCGGCGTCGAGTCAGGAGACGGAAAGTTCGTTCGGGGGCTTGTCGCAGGGCGCACGAATCCCCTTCGTGGAAGCGGACGTAAAACAGAGCTACCTCTGAGCGCCACGGTGGTGAGATGTTCACTCCCTCGCCTGGTATGCAGGAGGTCGTAGGTTTGATCCCAAGCCGGACGCCTGTATATTTGGAGTTTGCGTGTCTCTCTCTCCCGGTGGTCGCGTGGATTTTTCTCCGGGTCCTCCGGTTTTTTCCCTCCACATCTAGAATCAACATCGCGTGTTTAGAGTATTTGGCTGCTATACCTTTCCACGTAATGATAAATAAATTTCGTCATTTGTGATAGCCAGGTCGCTTCCAGAAAAAGAGCTACATAGCTCAGTGGGGCCTCACCTGATGGAAAAAAAAGTAAAAGGTCCAAAAACAAAATAGGGCAGCATTTACTCACCTGCTTTGCATGCAATATGAGAGCGATGTTCCATCGCGCGATGGGTGAAAGGGATTTTTATTTCATTCAGAGTGCTGGAATTTAGCCAAATGTAAGCGCGAACCCAAATTGAACGCGATGGGCCCCGTTTGCATGGTAACTGGGGGAGGCCTGCGCCTGACATTGTGACGTTGCTGTGACGTTGCTGTGACGACGGTCCGTGGGCAGGCGTCGATGATGGCCGAGGAGCTGAAGAAGGAGCAGGACACGAGCGCTCACCTGGAGCGCATGAAGAAGAACGCAGAGCAGACGCTGAAGGACCTGCAGCACCGGCTGGACGAGGCCGAGCAAGTCGCGCTCAAGGGCGGCAAGAAGCAGATCCAGAAGCTGGAGGGCAGGGTGAGACTGAGGGTTTGGCGGTGGTGGCGGCGGCTTAGTGGGATGGAAACGGGCGGAACAGAAAGGCTTCCACGCGACAGCGTTTGTGATGAGCGACGCATCGTGTCGAGCCGACTGACTGGTAATGGATGGCCTGCGTAAAGGAATGACTTGTCACTTAACTAGTGACTAGGACTAGGCCTACCTCATCCATAATATACTCGTGGGTAGTAGCAGGCCTACTCCATCCCTGATTAACTAGTGAGGAGTACTAGACCTAGCCCATCGCTACTATACTAGTGAGTAGTACTAGGCCTACCGACAAATGTTTAACTGTAAACCTCCACCACCCGACAGATCCAATTAAAAATAAAGTCATCGCGTGGACAAATATGCCAATCGGATTTGGTTTATCAGCGAAACCGGACGAGGAATGCCGAAGAGCAGGCGACATCTTCACAGCCGTTCTGCACGATGTTTCGCTGGAGATTGCCTTCTAGGATCATCATCGGGACATTAAACGAGAAGCTCAGCCCTCGCGCCGACCTTCAAAGGCGCTTACCGACAGCCGCTGTCCATCCCACAGGTGCGGGAGCTGGACAATGAGCTGGAGATGGAGCAGAGGAAAGGGGCCGAAGCCCTGAAGGGCTTCCGGAAGTACGAGCGCCGGATGAAGGAGCTCACCTACCAGGTACTTGCCCTCGTCACCATGGGCACAGCCGCCGCGGGCATTCTGGGGTGGGTGGAGGGTGGGTCCGGACACCCCCAAATACAAAGATCCCCCATATAGCCTGTAACAGACTGTTAGGGCAAGTGCTGTTAGCGAGCACCTACGAAGGCCGGCAAGGTGGACAAGGGCGTGGGTGGCCAGCACCACGCCCACCTCCCGTTGTCTCCCCAGTGGCGATGATTAAACACCGCACCAGGTACTCATTGGAGGACGAGTCGACCGAGGGGAGGCCCAGGACCGGTTCAAATAATCGTCACTGTTGTTGTCCGTGAGCAGGAATCGAACTCGGAGTGCCAGGCTCGTAGAGCAGCGTAGCGCTTACCGCTACACCACCCCCCCCCACCCCGCCACAGACAAAATTCACAAGCATTTGAGTCCGCTTTTTTTTCCCCACTCCTTTCGAATGAGTCCATTGAGATTGTAGAAGCTTTCAAAATAAGGTGTTTTTCTGCAACCAATATATCTCCATGTAATTTTAGTGGAGTATCTAGAAACGGATCACCCTGTATGCTTCATTATAATCACGACCCTGTTGCCGATTAAATCACTGACACAATGCACAATGTCCAATTTAAGGCTGAAGAGGACCGGAAAAATTTGGCACGAATGCAAGACCTCATCGAAAAACTGCAGCTGAAAGTGAAAAGCTACAAGCGGCAGTACGAAGAAGCTGTGAGTACCTTGTGCCGAGATGCTCCCCACCCGACCTCTCTACAGACACTCACCACTCGCCTGACCCTCAACTCATTCTGACCCTCGCTATATTAAATGCCACAACTACGCTCCTCTCACCGAGTGTAATACTTAATGGTATTTCGATTCCTAGCCAGGATTTTTACACTGTACGTAATTCTTCGTTCGTAACATTTCCCGACGTTTGTTCTACGCAACGCCTGTCAACCCTCCCTTCACCCATGTAACGCGCTGGCTGCCGTCGAACCGGCCGGTTCTATACGAACCCCCGTAAACCCTCCACCCCCCCCCACCTCCCCGCGTAACCTTGCTTGCTGCCATATCAGCCGTTTTGTCTGGGCCGCCGTTTGGGAAGCAAATAAATAACCATCCCGAGCCCGGTGGGCCTCGCGTGAAACCGCGCGGCCGGCCCGCTGTGTGTCCGTGTGCCGCGTTGGCTGCGTCTCCAGGAGGAGATCGCCAACAGCAACTTGTCCAAGTATCGGAAGCTGCAGCACGAGCTGGACGACGCGACGGAGCGAGCCGACATGGCAGAGTCGCAGGTCAACAAGATTCGCAGCAAATCGCGAGACGTGGTCACGAAGGTGAGCCCACACCAGAGTTGTTGTGGTTTTGTTCTTGCAGTAACAGGGACTCCTCTACTAAACGAGCGAGTTAGGTTCCAGAGGTCTGTTCGTAGGTCGATTTGGTCCAACTTTACTCCCGTCGACTCCAAACTTGTTGTACGGCATGTACACTAAACATGGGGAATGGCTTTAAAAGTTGTATAATCTCCTGTAGATGTAGACGCCACTGGTTCTTCATGTTTTATTGATGAAGATGCCACTGATTCTTCATGTTACGCAGGTGTAGATGCCACTGGTTTTTCACTTTCTGTAGATGTAGATGCTACTGGTTCTTCACGTTCTGTAGATGGCACTGGTTCTTCACGTGCTGCAGATGTAGATGCCACTGGTTCTTCACATTCTGCAGATGTAGATGCCACTGGTTCTTCACGTTCTACAGATGTAGATGCCACTGGTTCTTCACATTCTGCAGATGTAGATGCCACTGGTTCTTCACGCTCTGCAGATGTAGATTTCGCTGGTTCTTCACGTTCTGCAGATGTAGATGCCACTGGTTCTTCACGTTCTGCAGATGTAGATGCCACTGGTTCTTCACGTTCTGCAGATGTAGATGGCACCAGAGCCATCTATTGCATGTCGGTTGGAACTTACGACTCTTGGTCTGAACAGGCAACTAGACATATGGACAGGTTTCATCTTCTTTGGTTCTTTCGGTAAAGTCACGTAGAATGAGAATAAAATAATAAAATAACACAATAAAATTCTCACGACGTTTCGGCCACAATGCAAGCGGCCGTCTTCAAGTGAAAGGAACAGACCTGTCGGGACGACAGAGCTTCAATGAACGATGTTATGACTCGTAGCGAATTTTAAGCTGGTTGGGAGAAGTGAGGCACGAAACGTCGTGAGAATTTTATTGTGTTATTTTATTATTTTATTCTCATTCTACGTGACTTTACCGAAAGAACCAAAGAAGATGAATCCTTGCAGGCACGAAAGCTTTAAATCGAAATGGACAGGTTTGTTTCTATCTCTGAAAGTTCGTAAGTAAAATGTTCGTAACTAGGGGAGTCCCTGAAATAATATGGTGAAAATGATTTGAGAATACTGCAGTGGTGTGTCATGGTTTTTTAGCACACCGGACTTGCAATCGAGTGTACGGGCCTCTCCTTTCCCGATGCAACTAAATGCATCCGCGGGGTAAACGGCGAGCGCTCGTTCGTACTTCAGAATCAGAATATTTATCAATCCCATCAGCTATGAAGGTCTTTTTCACCAGATGTCCGGTAGGAACATCTGTGACTTCTTACACGAAGCACACGTCCTGCTGTGCCGGCAGAGTTAGGCATGGTTTCAATATGATTTGTATCTATCCGGGGAGATTTACGTAATTATCCGCATAACAAGTTTGTAGGGAATGTTATGGTTGGCACACGCAACTTGCAATCCAGAGGTCGCCGGTTCAGTGTCATCTCCCGGTGTGGCAGTTGACTCAATGGGGCAAGTTTCTACAAATCCACCCAAACTACCTTTGTTCACGCGGCAAAATAAAAATGGGGTACACGCACAGTTGAAGACGATTGGCAAGTTACATGTGATGGGGTGAAGCGTGGCTACTCCCACCTTTTCAAATATTTCTGGACAGCAGGGAAGAGTAGGCCAAATAGACTCATGGAAGGGGGGCTCTCTGGAGCTTCATCGGGTGGAAGCCCTTCCGCCAGCGGTGGTGTGAGCAAGCAATTGCCAAATGAAAGCCTGACCCCTGGCGTCGTGGTTGCTGGATCCATACTTCACCGCGCCGGTTATTGCGGATTGAAGGGCCCATCCTTTGACCGATTGAGATACCACTCGGCACGACGTCAGCCATGGCTGGGAATCGAACTTAGGCCAGTTGGTTCATAGCGTGGTGCGTGAACCATTGGATCACCAAGAAGAAGGTCACCGACACCAGGAGCCTATATTTGAAGGCCTTTGCACTTCGATGTCGGTCAGGGTTTTTTTTATGGGAAGCCTGCCAATTTTTTTCTAAATTAAAAAACAAACCGAATTCTTTCCTCCTCCCCCAACCCCTGTTCTTCAGAAACACGACGAGTAAAGAGTGACCAGCGGCCGCAGAGAGAAGATTCAGCGGACATCTGCAAGCAAGCGGGGGTTTGGGGGGGGGAGCTACATTCACTTGTTGACAAACAAAGCCTCCCGTCCGTCCAATTCTTGACAATGACGTCCCCACGTCTCCATTACCACCGAGGCAGTTCCATAAAAAATATATATTATCGGTGAACGACCTCAGTCAATAACAACAATATTTAAAGACGACCTAAAATAAATAAAAATATTCCAAAAAGTAATTTCGTCTAAGTACGTCCACCGCCCATTTTTCAAACATTTCTCCCGAATCAAAAAAGGCGGACACATTTTATCTCCGAGTCCGTTGTTCGACACACCTCGGCCAAAGTGAAAGAAGCCACTTAATGATTATACTAACAGTTACTCGATTTTTATACACGTTTAAAACGTACGTCCGAGACCACGTAAACTGCCAAGTGACAACAGGGTCAAATCGGTAACGGTGAAGCGATTTTACCTTTTCGGCAAAATATGAATCTGGCCCTGGTGTGTGTGTGTGTGTTTGTCTCTGATTGCTACAATATTGTAGTTAAATGACCCGCTATTATGCACGGTTTCACAAACATAACGCTCAAGAGTAGTCAAGCAGGCGACATGCCCAGTGACCTAAACCACGGGGCAGTTCCAGCAATGACCGGCTTTCATGGCAACCAGCAACAGATGCATTTTTGCCTTGGGGAAGCAGTCCCTAGGTGGTGCATAGACACGGAGAAAAGAAAGAGAGAGGACTGGCAGTATCTTGAGATGCGAGTTGAGTGTCGCATGGAGCAACAAGTGGAATGGAGAGACAAAAGAATGAACTTTTTAGAGCAGCTTCAGAGAGGGGAGGAGGGAAGCTGAATGAGAATTTAAATAAACATGGCAACATGTGGATTGGGCACTCTAGGGGGTGAACGTTTGACGAATGAAGTTCTGGAATGAAGGATGTTGGGAAAGAGGCCAAGAGACGGGAAAGGAAAAGTTTCCGTGGAAAAGAGCTTCACAGCTCATCGGATTCCTCCAGTGGCAATAAATCTTCGGATCGATGCTGCTTGACAACTTGGGAGGAAGGTTTGGAGAGAGCCGCCCGCCGTGCGGCAAAGCGAAGAAAGCTCGCGATGAGGCAGGATGGGTGGCGATTGAGCCATGGACCTGCAAATGGCCAAATGACCAGGGACAGAGAGGAAGGATTTGCCATTCCATCTTCGTAGAATAAGCAACGATTATTAATATTCCTGCTAAGATGCTCATCCATTACGCGCGCCTACAGTCGGTATATTATTCACGGTGCAAGCCGGCAAGCGAACAGCACGTGCCGCACGCGACACAACTTTTGCTACGCGTGACACACCGCCGTGCTAGAGCGAGCGCTCTGCGGTAATCATCGCTTCAAGCTTACGAATCCCAGATGTTGAAACGACGGCAAGGAATGGTTAAACATGCTAAACTAATCTCTTCGTTTGGTTGGAGGTGAACAATAATACCACTCGGGGAGAGTTTTTGTTCTGCATGCGGTTATCCTCATTGTGTGGTTGCAAATAAACGTCTGGACACAAAAAAAATAACTTTTCTGATGCCCCTCGCCTTCATTTCACAATAACACGAGCCTGCTCTCTCGCGGGGACCCGCGTGAACGCCGTAGTCACATGGACAGACGTGCTGCTGCTACTGCTGCTGCTGCCACATGGGTTCGACCTCTGGAACTTCATTTGGAGTTCCCAGAGCAGCAGTTGAAAAAAACCGAGAATAAATAATAAATGCATTTCGTTTTGCGTCGTGTAAGTCGTGGAAATGACATCTCAAAAAGCACATTTTAGCATACGACAAAAATTACCCGAGAACACCACCCACGGGAAAATAAAAATTGTTTAGTTTTAGATTTTAGCTTTTTAGCGATTTGTTTATCTTTACTTTGCACTCCTATGATGTGTTTGTCGTTGTAACGTTCTGTCCCGCCCCATCGGATTCCTCCGGTATACATTAATATTATGATTCTGGGCACGGAGCAAACTAACAACACGAGCTGTTACGTGGTGGGGGAGGAACAAGACAACACGAGTTGAGAGGTGGTGGGTGGTCAGACAACAGCTGAGCTTCCGACAGCAGCGAGAGGGCGCAGGGGCAGCAGCACTCAGCACGAACCCGAGGATGCCCTCCCTCGCCTCGCAGCAGCTAAGTGCTCTCCTCGCTCCCGGCAGGCGGCAGCAATGGCACGTGGGTAGCTGCTGCGTGGGGAGCGGTGGTGCAGCGGTTAGCGCGCCGTGCGATGAACCCGGCGAACCCGAGTTCGATTCCCGCTCACGGCCACCAGCACCAGTAAGGAATATCTGAACTTGGTGCGGTGTGTGAACATCATCACTGGGGAGACAAAGGCAGTCGGGCGTGGTGCTGGCCACCCACCCCCTCGTGTGCTGTGCCGGCCTTCGTAGGTTGCTACTGGCTAACAACACTTGCCCCGAAAGTCTGTTGTCTTTGACGTAGTCGATTACTCGATAAACCGTTGCCGGCGTAAAGGTGATATTATTTTTGGTTAGCCTGCTCACGAGTGCTCGTATGGGTGGGTGGGTGAAGTCGTGTGAGTGGGAAGCAACTTTTCACTTGAGGCGACACAATAACATCATCAAGCTGCTTGTGGGTCTTGAATTGTAGGCCAGTCACCCTGCACACTTCCACACGGTGACGCAACTTCAAACGGCAAGTCGCACACACGGCATCTTACTAAACTTTTATTTTACCAAGTAAGGCCGACCCAGCCTTTCAGAAGCGACCTAGCCAAAAATGATCGCTCAACTTCGTGGCTTATCACGTGGACATTTATACCAGTCAAATACTCTAAACGCACTTTTTTGAATATGGAGGGAAAATCCACAGGAGGTCGTGGGTTCAATCCCAACCCTGAAACCTGCTGTATATTTAGATTTTTCACGTTCTCCCCGTGGTCGCGTGGATTTTTCTCCGGGTTTTCATTCCACATTTGGAATCAACATCGCCACGCGCTTTAGAGTATTGGGTTGCTCTAAATGTCCACACGATTAGTCACTTCGTCAAGCTATCATGTGGCCAGGTCGCTTCTGCAAAATAGCTCCAATAGCTCAGGTGGGCTTGACCTGGCAAAATAAGAAAACTAGTTACAGTAGATCTGGCTCGTGCACACGATGCGATGTCATCGCTCCCATCGTCCGTGGTGAACTCATTTTCGATCGCGTTCTTTCCTTCGGGCTTGCCTACTCCATCCGTCTGCCTCGACCGCATGGCCCAATATCGCATTCCAGCAACACGTGGCCTGCGCAAGACAAAGAAATCCCCCCCTCCCCACCCCTCCGTGTATAATCTGAACAAGCTTTCGGGGCAAGTGCTGTTATCGAGCAGTAACCGCACGATGACGCTCTGGGCGGCCTGCCTGCGATCGCCTCGCTCCTGGAGTGTCCTCTCCTAACCTCGTGCACTTCTCCGCTCCCCGATCACCGATCCAGACAATCACTGAAACCCACCCGGGGGGTGGGGGGGGGCTATTAATGCACGACCCTGGTGGTGTGACCCTACACAAATCGTACGTTCAGCATGACATGGCCACCCAGCGTCTTGTGATGCAACGTCACTTACAGCATTCGCCCTGCTCTCCCCGCGGCTCCGGAACTCTCTCCACTGCTAGCTGGATGTTGGGCAGAGATGTTCGTGGCTGGTGTACCTGCCGTTGTGGTCTCCCCCACATCCTAATTGTGTGGGAGGGGATTCCCTTACACAGGGTGGTCCAGATGTCGTGACCCCCAATTCATTGACCCCTAAAATTAGTTCTCCCTTTGCATATTCATTTATGTTTTAAATAAACATTACTTATAAGGTACATCTTAAGTTTTGGAGAATTAAATGGCGGTCACAAGACATATGGGCCACCTTGTACAGGATATGAAATTTGGGCTCGGTTTGGCACGGTCCATTGGTTAATTTCCAAATAAAAATTAAAGCCTGCACCTGTTTTGAATACAATGCACGCGATTTTCTGCACCGGTTACGAATTAATCTAAGCGGCGCGCGGTTTCTCCGGCTAATTATTTCACTCACAGCGCATGCTGCACCGCTGATGAATTGGCGGCTTGAATGAGGCTCATTAATTCCTTCAATTAATTCCTTCATCCCCCCTGGCAAACTCAGAACCTGGTGCTCTTCCTGTGCCACTTCACCATCCCCCCTCCCCCTCATTCAAACACGGGGTCTGCCACATACACACTGTATCGGGATTGAACCTCCACTCTCATCTGTAAGTAATTTCACTATTTAATCGTGTACCACGTAACACCTAACAGCAGCACCACCGCAGTCCTGCCAGATGAGCGCCAGACGGAACAGATTCCCCCAGAACCTCACGTCTGCTCTATGACCCCCACCCACCCCACGGACCCCACCCACCCACGGACCCCACCCACCCCACGCACCCACCCACCCCACGCACCCCACGCACCCCACCCACCCACCCCACGCACCCCATGCACCCCACCCACCCACCCCACGCACCCCACCCACCCACCCCACGCACCCCACCCACCCACCCCACGCACCCCACCCACCAACCCCACGCACCCCAAGCTCCCCACCCACCCCACGCACCCCACGCTCCCCACCCACCCCACGCACCCCACCCCATGCACCCCACCCACCCCACGCTCCCCACCCACACCACGCACCCCACCCACCCCACCCACCCCACCCACCCCACGCACCCCACGCACCCCACACACCCCACGCTCCCCACCCACACCACGCACCCCACCCACCCCACGCACCCCACGCACCCCACGCACCCCACGCTCCCCACCCGCCCCACGCTCCCCACCACCTCACCCACCCCACGGACCCCACCCCACGCACCCCACGCACTCCACCCACCCCACGCTCCCCACGCTCCCCACCCACCCCAAGCACCCCACCCACCCCACGCTCCCCACCCACCCCACGCTCCCCACCCACCCCACGCACCCCACCGACGGCCAAAGTAAACTATAAATAGGCCACGTGGTTGTCTCAAACCCAGAGACCACCATCACCCAAGAAGAACTCCCAGCTTCTTACGCCAGCCGGAAAATAGAAAAACAAACAGGTGGAGAGGGGAAAAAAAACACACGGGCAAAACTGCAACGATGGTGCAAGTCTCTTAAATCCACAGCCACTGTCCAGTGTCAAATAATACACCACAGTTAGCCGATCGGCAGATCGCATGTTGTGGGGTAAAGTGTGGGTACTCCCACCACTTCCAATATGTCTGGTCAGGGTATAAGAGGAGACGAAATAACTTCTGAAAATGCCCAGTAGAGCTCCCTTTGGCATAGGCGTAAGTATATATTAATGTATGTTGAACTTTTTTGGCACATTACGTAGCCAACCGTGCTATAGTTTTCCCGTCTTTGCTCTACTAACTGTTGGTCACCTAATATACAAACCTATAGCCCATATTTTCAACCTGTCCATCAAAGAAGCATCAGTTCCTCTAGAATGGAAACATTCCTATGTCCGTCCACTTCACAAAGGGGCCCCGAAAGATGATCCCAATAACTACCGACCTATCTCAATTTTGTCCCCATTGATGAAAATTTTTGAAAAATTATTGAACTACCAAATTAGCAGTTTCCTGTCCACCAACAATCTACTACATCTAAAACAATCTGGGTTCCGAAAAAAATACAGCACCACATCTACTGCATTAGACTCTCTGAATCAAATTTACAGTAGCCTTGATAATAAGCAGTACTGTGCATGTCTTTTTCTTGACCTGTCCAAAGCTTTTGATACAGTAGACCACAACACCCTGCTTGGTAAACTAAGTTGCCTCGGTTTTTCCAAAAACACAGCAAAATGGTTAAAGAAATTATCTCTTTTCTCGCACCCAAACTGTATCCACAGATGGTTGGAGGTCAAACAGTGTTAAGATAACAAAAGGGGTTCCACAGGGTTCCATCCTTGGCCCCCTCTTGTTCTCTCTTTATGTCAATGACTTGGGCACTGACCTGGATCATTCCAGGGTAAATCTTTTTGCAGATGACACGATGCTGATTACTGCTGGCCGCTCTCCGGATGACGTGATTGCAAAGCTCCAGGGTGATTTCAACAAACTACAACATCAGCTAGTTGCTCTTAAACTAGTCCTAAATACCTCCAAAACCAAGGTGCTATGCTTCTCACCGGGACTAAAGCAGGAAGTTATTTTTCCCAAATTACATTCCTTAAATAATGATCAAATAGAGCAAGTCAAGTTCTATAAGTATCTTGGGGTCATCCTGGATTCAAAACTGAATTTTGAAGATAACATTGATTATATTGGTAAAAAGACAAAAATAAAAATTGGTTTTCTGTATCGACACAAGCACTGCTTCCCCTCTATGTTCCGTTTGGAATTGATAAAAGCTACCATACTGCCTCTACTTGATTACTGTGATATCGTGTATAAATCAGCCCCAAGTACTGTACTGAAGAAGCTTGATTCCATCTATCACTCGGCCTTAAGATTTGCATTGAACTGCCCATATAGGACTCACCACTGTGATCTCTACATTGGGTCAAACTTAACAT